TAAAAGTATAACTTAGCATAACGATGTTGACTTCTGACTGTAATTAGTTTACTTAAATTAGAACCCTTTGGATAATGTGCATTAATAATAAAGTACAAATAAAAAGGGTTATTCTGTGTCAATTCAACACGATATTTCACCCGACCCCTAACAGAGTTAAACTATATTTGGTGTGATGATTGGCCTGTATGAGAAGCCCCCAGAACTGAAATCTTTTGTGATTTGGCTCGTAAGTTTTTGAGATACGGGTCAACAGACTTTTGACTAATTAGCATGACCTCCAACTTTAAAAACTTGTATACATGTAGATCTCCAAAACTATAGCACCTACAAAGCCAAGTTGTACATCATATTAAAGCTCTTTGAAAGGCCTCCATTTCATAAAATAAAACCAAAATTGTAGCATGGAGCACAGAGAAAATGCGTACCAAAATGACATTTGACCTTGGATTACAAAAATAAATACGCTTCAAATTCATCATTCATTTTTTTCCCCCTGGATGTTAGCATGATGTAAGAAACAATCTTGGAAAATGTTGTGATGGGCGCTCTTAAAGTTTTTTAATTATGATTTATTTTAGATAGCATGTCTGAGTGCAAACAGTCCCGTTTTTGTCTGAGTTGATTAAAAAAAACTGGTTGTGGGGAAAATATTTTGGATTTTTAGGTCAAACTCATAATTTTGCAAAGTTTGTCAAATGTATACCACCAATTACTGAAAGATTTAGGACACAAGTCCTGAAATAATCTCCATTGTTTTCTCTAGACCTCCATGATAAAATCAAATTTCTCAGAATTTGATTGATTGAATCAAGTGAGCCAATTAATGAGCCAGATGACTTACCCACATGGTATGTGGGAGTTATCCCCAGGCCTGGCCTGGTGGGAGTAAGCTCCCTCTCGCTGTCTCATTTGTAAAACAGATGGTGGAGTTGGGAGGAGATAAGCTGGTTGTTCAAGGTGGAGTACCTCTTCCACGTTTCTATTAACCCTAACTGCCCTGAATCCTTCAAAATCCTCTTTGCCAATGCCAAAGTGGAGGAATTGGGAGAAATGAGGTTACATTGCAACACTGATTTCCTAGGATGCACTTTGTCAAGGTCTTTGGCCGGACCTTGTGTTGTTTTTGCTCAGCCATGCATAAATATAGGCCTGGAATGATTGAAATCCTCAGTACTGCTCCAGGATGTCACTGGCCAAGCCTCAACATATTGACAGTCACTGCCGCATGATTTTGCAGGATTCAGGCAGTGGTCACCCATCCACGATTCATATTCAAGAAATAATGGAGGAATTTGCAGGATTGAGGCTATATGCTATTTTTCCATGAGGCCAATTGGAGGATTTTGCAGGATCCTAGCAAAAAGGCCTATGGAGTTAGGGTTAATATCTTCAGCAAGATTTAATCAACTTGCAGAATTAATTCGTTTTGTTCACCAAACTTTCAGTCATTTGTAACAAGAGTAGCATGGTAATTTTTCCTTAGAATCGGAGTGGAAATTTGGAGGTTGTGTCTTTTGCCGTGGAATTGCCCCTACTGGTTGTTTCTGAGCAACTTCATGCGAAAACTTGACTGTTTGAAAGTTGAAACGACGCCAAGTCTCGTCAATGGAAAATTACACGTACTAGAAGTTGGCCTGTCTGATTTCAAACGGGAACTCCAAAGAGTACAGAGAAAAAGTGTCACTTTTGCTTAAAATGTACATGATCTGTAAAGTTAGGCTAAATAATAAAGTGTCTTGTACATATGTATACAAATGTGAATGTACATTTAGGACTGACTTTGTTGGCAGTGTGTAAATGGTATGATGCACATGATGTATCATCAAAGAGCCCACACTTGCCTCTCATGAGGTGGTCATACCGCCCTCTATCGTTCTTCTACGAGGCGAACTGAAAACCATGGACCTTACACTCCTGCACTTGACCCTTTATCTCGTTTTTTTTTTTGGATTGGACTTCACTTTGTTATCTCTGTACAGTCTGCACATGGCACAAGTAATTAACAATGTAAGAGCCACCAGGACACCTAATGATGAGGTTGTTGACTTATTACTCTGGGACCCTGATCTTTCCCGAATGAAAAAAGCACATGAGTTTTTCAAAAAAATAACTTAATCAATGACATCTGTTTGATCATGGTTTTGATTCATAGGCTTTGTTACATGTAAGTGGGGGTCTGTGGTTGGTGTGTTTTGGAGTACCTTGAGAAAGTGAAACTGTGGACAGCCTATCCATTGCCACATCTTTCTTGGAATCCATCTTGGCTGTGGTCACTGACCCTACTAATGACTTCTTGTGGTCGGCCCATTAAAAAAATAAGCTGGATTTTCTTGCGAAAACACAAAGGGATGGGCAATTCCAGTGTAGTGGAAGGAAGCCTAAAGTCAGTGACAGAGCCAATTTATCATGACATCTACACTACTGGTTGAGAGAAACAATCCCAAACTCCTAGTCTGTAATCTCCTTGACCATTACTAGAGGACGAATGTATAAAATTTGAAAAATACATTTTCAGGTTTATTCACTGAGCTCTACATGTATGATGTAAAAGATTTTTCATGGACTTTGTGCTGGAATTGCGCCCGTGTGTGTGGAGCTATAAACATCCCCCATTTTGGTGGATTTTGGTGGACTTGGTCCTGTTGGCCTGGTTTGACTAAATACTGATGGAGTATGATGGACTTGGGTCTGGAGGCCTAAAGCAAAGCATGCATTGGAAGCAGTGTGATTGATGGATTTTGGCGGACTTGGTCCAGTACTTATTAAAAGACAACTTTAGGGTTAGTCTTCAAAGATATTAAATGAAAATCTGACAAGGCAAATGAGGGAAACCATTCAAATATTTAATACAATTGTTTTTGTTCACTGTATGGAAGTCACTTTGCAAGTTAGGCCCCCCCCCCCACAAGTCTTCGGTTTCTGGTATGGAGCTTGGCCCAAAAGTGGTGTGGCGACGCACTTTTTTAAAAACTTTTTTCTTCTTCAAATGTCGGCTGATGACTGCAAATGGTGCCTGACTAAATTCAGCGCAAAATATATGGGAGCCAAGAGAGGCCACATAAAGCTTACACTTGATCGTTACCCCTTCTAAAAACATGTTAGAATTGTGCACCAGCAGGATTCCAAACGAACCAGTGAGTTTGGCAGTTTTGAGACATCATCTTACATTGAAAAAAAAAAAAGTTTAATTTTGCCGAGGCGCATGGCTACGGCGACATGCACACCAGGTGGTCTTAACTCTTTTCAAAGCAAAGAAAGAAGACAAAGTTGTGTGAAAAAAAGCCCAAACCATCAAATTCTCTTTATTGGGTTTACATATAAAAATTAAATTATTCTGGAGGAATTAACAGAATATTTCAAACTGAAGAAACAGTGTTAGAGCGCCTTCTCCTTTGATTCTGCTTCCACCTGTCCCCCCCCCCCCTCCCACCGACTAAAAATTAAAATAACAGCCAGATAAGATTTGTGCAACTGAATTGCCAAATGTTGATAACCCTCGGCTGATAGAGCGATAACCTTCACAAAACCTGCAGAAATTCTGTGTGTCTGGTTTTCAGTAGTGGAAGCTAACTTGAACCTTGATCCCTTGCGAGATTGTCAAAATGTGCTCCAGTTTTTCAGACCTTGCCCTTGCCTGAAAGACGGTGAAGAGTGACTTTGATTTAGATCAAAGTGGTAGTAAAACTAATGTTTTTGTTATGTTTTTTTAGGTTAAGAATAAAGAGTCACGTAAGCTGTGAATTAAAAGCTCACAATGAACGAGTCTCAATAGACCATTATCGTGCTGCCACCATTTCAGTCATGTTCCCCGTATCCAATTACAGTACTGAATGATAATGTTGTTTGTGCAAAAAAGAACCAGACTAATTTTCCTTCCAGCCTCCCTTTGGTTACGTTGATTTGAATGGGAAAAAAATATCAAGACGGCCGCAACATGATAATGGTCTATTTCTGGTATCTCTTTAGTCTTGAGAAAATAACCTGCTATAGAATTTCCTATACTCTAACCCGAATTCCCTAGGCATTTTTGCTAGGATGCAACTTCAATCCTGCAAAATCCTCCAACTGCCTCCATGTAAAAATAGCAAACAGCCTCAATCCTGCAAAATCCTCCGTTATTTCTTGAATGTGGTCCTTGGAGGGCTGACCACTGCCTCAATCCTGCAAAATTCTCCAGCACTGAATCACTGCCAATACGTTGAAGCAGAGCCAGAGACATCCTGGAGCAGTGAAGAGGATTTCAAGTATAATCTAGGCCCACAATCTTGAAACAGTGCATCCTCCAAAATCAGCCACACATTTTTGCCATATAGCCTCAATCCTGCAAAATCCTCCATTTTGCAAAGAGGATTTTGGGAAGGTTAGGGTTTAATGGCTTCTTTGAGAACTATTTTTACTAAAAATCAATTTTAAAGGTACCTTTTAGTCACTTTTTTGGTGCTAACCCTTCCCAAATCAAAAATTTAATACAACAAACAGAAGCACAAAAGACTCAACAATAAATTCTCAGGTATTCAGCAGTGTTCCTAAATCATTTGGTGTTTTATTTTCTCAATTATTTTCTATTTTTGTAAACCTTTAGTCCACAATGAATTTTCACTTGAGGTTCTCACCTTTGACAATTCTTGACTTTTATCTTACAATTTATCTTACAACCCTTCAAAATCCTACTGCATGTTTTGTTTGATTCTGTTGGAGTGAGTACTGCACTATTATTCTTTACATGGGGTTAGGCATACCACCATAATCAGAGTTTAGCAGTTTGGTGTTGAGTTACCATAAATGGTGCTGGATTTTGCAAGAGTGAGAAAGGTTCCTAGTAAATCACTCAAAAGGGGTAAGGGTTAATGCACCTTCTGATGACAATTTCTTGATTAAAGTTCGTCGTAGGCGTGTGATTTCAGAAAAAAATTCTGACAGTGACAGGCTGACAGCTCTTCAGAAACTGCAAAATCTAACATCAGACTCCTCTTGAAATCTTGGTGTCATTCTTTCAGACAAAGAGCAAGCAAGGCAGGACACCCATCGGAGCGGTGGTAGCACCACCAGCCGTGGGGGCCTGAGCACAGTCTGCGAGGAGCCCGCCTCCACCACGGATGAGGACCAACACAGGGACAGCCAACGAGCTAAGTACCTGGCCAGCCTACATGTACGACCGGTCCCCCTGGCTGCCTCGGTTCACCCACACCACTATCACCACCAGGCCCTTCACCATCACCATCATCACTCCCCGCCATACCTCATTGACCCTACCAACGGATGGGCGACCCTAGACCCCCGTTATGGTGAGTTGTAAACTTTTAGAGGTCTTAAAAGCCATGTAGGAACATTTGCAAGTATCTGGAAACGTACCTTTGATTTAACGAGAAGTTCCTTGCTCAAAGTGAAGATGGAACCGGTACCGAAACCCCCTTGAAATTATCCCACCTGAAATGGTTTCATTCAGAAGAAAGCAATCATTGAAGATGGTTTTAAAAAATGGACCCGCGATTTTTTACGTGCGTTAACAACAGAATAACTTTACAAAACCCCCAAAATTGTGATATATATTTGCTCTGTTTTCTCAAAATGTTTAGTATCCACTGAGCTGACACTCCAACAAGTTAGTTGTTATGCACCCTTCTTAAGATTGCGAGCAATTTTGTTGTTTCATACAAACAGATGCACAAAAAGCAAATGTTCCCATGTACATGTACATTACCTTTTACATGTAGTAGGCTATTTATAACCTTCAGTCACCCTAAATATCTTTTTACGGTAAGGAAATCCCACTTTCTATTTAAGGAAACAATCAACTCCCCCCCCCCAAAAAAAAAAGAAAACGCAGTTTGTTTCAAGTTTGAAAAATGCAGGTTTTTCAAACACTGACTTTGTATTTGTGGTTTCATACAAACGCAATACACAGCTCTCCAAACTTGGAAATAAATCCTAGAATCTCAACACATTGAGCGGCCTTGAAAATCGACTAACGTTTTTGCTGAATTTGTGATCTGATCAAAGTTAACTGCTCAGCCACCACTCCCACATCTCGAACCATTGATAGCGGAGACGTTTGGTTGAATATTAATTTTTGATATCACATCTTTCCACCCACCCTCCCACTCCAAATCTAATTTTGTGCTTTATTGACAATTAAAATTGTAGCCAATGGCTTAAAAAGAAAAAGAAAAAAAAGAGAAAGCATTGTTGAACAATTGTTAGATCCAAACTCCTAGTTTAAAGTCCAGTTATTTATTCCCTGTATCGCACGAGACCACGCCACTGGATTATCTCGCCAAGGGCCTCTCCAAAATTGTCGTTCGGGCTGACTTTGAACTTTTCAGAATGATTAGATCAGAGAGCTGGACACAAATTTGTACTTTGATTCTTTGGAGTTTTGAGGCCGCCCAGAGTGTCGGCAATAGTACCGGTTCTAGGCCATTGCGTCAGAAAGTAATAATTTGATGGCATTGTGGGTCAGAGAGACGGTAATTAAAAAGGGGTTTTGAATAAGCTGTCACCGCTGTCATGGAAGTTTACGGTGCTTGCATGCAAGGTATGGTGAAATCATTAGACTTTTAAAGATCTGGCATAAGTTAGTTGGCATTGGACAGGTACTTGTATATGGGGTTATACATGTATGTGGCTCTTATCTGAACCTTGGGTTTAGAAAAAAATCTGTGCCAGAATTTGTGCCAGAATTTTGTTGCTGTCATAGATGAACAATTAAAAACGTCTCAATCACAGATAAGTGATATTGTCAATTGTTCAGTTCCGGTATGTCAATCACTATGGGCTCCGTGCGCCAACGAAAGAGGGCGCCCGTTTACCTAGCAACGACGTACCATAGGCGGGACATTTAGTTGGTTGACGCGCACCGTAATGTAATGTACATGCAGTGGTACATGGTACGGCCGAGCGTCGCGGCAAAATTGCAGTCAGGCAAGATGGCGTCGGTCGGTCAACTCCCAACTGTGCTTTCTTTGCCGGTGAGGGGGTACTTGTGAACGGAGCAGATACCCCCTGTATCACTAGTACACAGTTTCTAGCATTATGTAAATGTCTGTGACAGAACTTTTAAGAACTCAGTGAATTAACCTACAAACTTGGTTTTTTTTTAGTTAAGGAGATTGCAGACTAGGAGTTTTTGGATCATTTTGTTGAATCGTCATGGTTAATGTCATGGTTAATGTTATCTTTGGGATCATTACTGACTGTTATGTTTACAAATTGTGTCGAATTTGTCTTTACTTTTCAGTCTCTAGATGTATCAAAATAGCCAATTCAAATTAATGTTAAATGTTGAAAATGCCATTGTTTTGTTGACATACTCTCAAATGGCGACAAATAATACTCAAAACATCCTCCAAATTTTCTGTATGGCAACGAGAATTTATACTCGAGCAGTCCTTACAGAACTTAAATTCTCCCTTTAATCCCGCCATATGAAAGTCTTCACTGCAAAACAAAAGGCCCCCATTCTGAGAGAAGTATACTGATGCTTGAGTTTGTGGGATAGTAAAGTGACCCAGGCCTGCCCTAGTGCCAATATGGCAAGTGATGAGGGACATATTCCAAATGGTGTTAAACTGATTCTGGGTTTTATACTGTTTAGCTGTGGACATTTTATGGTTTACACAATGCCAGAGCCTGTGGGATGTAAGTATTTATAAACAGATGAGAAAGTGGAATTCATCCTGTACCAGAAGCAGTATTAAGGCTTTCTTAAAGGGAAAATACAACATTTGCAAACATCAAAAAATAAAACTACCAAATCATTTTGAAATACCTTGCTGGACTGTTAGTGAATGACAGTGTAAAGCATCCTGTAAAATCATGGCACCTGGTATACTGTCATTTTCAAGAAAAGTGGTATTTTTGTATCAATTTCCAACGCTGATCGGCCGATCAGCGTTGGAAAAAACTGGCTTTTTTTCAAATACTGGCCCCAGTTGACCATCGCACTTGTTTGCAATCGATTACACACCTACACGTATGAACGGGTACAAGCCAGCTAGACAGGTTCCCTGACCTTACAATTCCCCAATGTATGTAAACTGCTCTGTTTCTTCTTAAATGGAGTCAGGGAACCAGACTACAGGAAAATGATTGTTTTTCTTGCTTTTTATAGCATTTTTGAACCCAAAACCTCAAAAAAGTCAGTGTAACTATATTTGCTATATATTTCCACCCCCCCCCAATTCCATCCATTTCTGAAAATTACAGCAAAAGCAAATGATGTATATTCCCTTTAAGTATGCATTAAAGAACTGAAATTTGAAGTCTGGTTGAAAAACAAAGTAAACTCTGTGATGCACAGTCGAGATGGATTGTTTTCAGTGAAATTGTCATTGAAGACAGAAGCAGTATGAAGGCTTTCTTGTATGTGCTAAACTGAAATTTGAAGTCCGGTTGAAAAGCAAAGTACCGGTAAAGTCTGTGATGCACAGTTGAGATGGAATGTTTTCAGTGAAATTGTCATTTTAAGACAGAAGCAGTATGAAGGCTTTCTTGTATGTACTAAAGAACTGAAATTTGAAGTCCGGTTGAAAAGCAAAGTAAAGTCCATGATGCACAGTCGAGATGGAATGTTTTCAGTGAATTTGTCATTTTAAGACAGAAGCAGTATGAAGGCTTTCTTGTATGTGCTAAACTGAAATTTGAAGTCGGGTTGAAAAGCAAAGTAAAGTCCATGATGCACAGTCGAGATGGAATGTTTTCAGTGAAATTGTCATTGAAGACAGAAGCAGCATGAAGGCTTTCTTGTATGTACTAAACTGAAATTTGAAGTCCAGTTAATAAAACAAAGTAAAGTCCGTGAAGCACAGTCGAGATGGAATGTTTTCAGTGAAATTGTCATTTTAAGACAGAAGCAGTATGAAGGCTTTCTTGTATATGTACTAAACTGAAATTTGAAGTCCGGTTGAAAAGCAAAGTAAAGTCCGTGATGCACAGTCGAGATGGATTGTTTTCAGTGAAATTGTCATTTTAAGACGGAAAGTTGAGTTCTTTACTGTTCTTGCATCTTCAAGGACAATTGCAACATCTTACATGTAAGATAAGGTATTGATTTTTTTGGTTAAATTGTCCTGTGACTGAGTCACTGACTGAGTCACTACTAGCCAAGTCTTGTCTTGTTAAATTTTAATGAGTATTGATACACAAACTTTCATTGTCAATAGTGTAAATTGAGTTATTTTTTTGTTGACTTCTTCCCTCCCCCCCCCCACTCTTCTCAGTACATGCCATGGATGGACGTCTTAGTTTCCACCCACCCATTCCTGTAGACGCAAGGACGCATGAGGGACGCTATCACTTTGACACACCGATCCACCACCCGCTGCATGGGTAAGTTGAAAGTTTCACTCAAAAAGGGTTCAATGAAAAATTAAAGTTCAAAGTTTCACTCCAGAAAGGCTCATGAAAAATTAACATGCACCTGTGGAGCATGTTTTATGGACACAGTTTCATGGTCAGAGCTTACGGAAAGATTATGAAAAAAAAATCCTCTGGTTTGTATTGGCAGGATTCGAACCCACACAATTGTCTACTCACTGTCACAAACTGTTCTGGATTTGGCAGAAAAAAATCCGCCCACTTTTTGTTTGTGTACATTTCTTGCCGCGCTTGTGAGTGACTTTGGCCGAGCTGCCTGGGTCACCTGACCAAAAGTCGCGATCTAATTAGTCAGTGCAAACTGTTTGATTGACAGACAGGAGGATCGCTCGTTAACATTTTCCCAACCGAAAAAAAATTCCCATCACAAGTCAGTGAATTCTTATATTATTAATTTTTATCATACAAACTAAATAATATTCATTATTGGTGGTTTTTTTTGCCCTTCGCCGATGTATTTTTGTGAAGGGCAAAAAAAATCAATATTGAATTTACATCACACCGACGCAAATTCCCTCGTATGAATAACTTAATTATTACTAGCCCCCTTGGACTAAGACGTTGACAAAATTGGGAACTGCCAACATAGGGCTGGATAGCTCAGTTGGTAGAGCACCGGGATGGCAATCCGAAGGTCGCAGGTTCAAGCCCCGCTCCAGTCAATTTCTTTGTTCAACTTTAAAATAATAATGCACCTAGTCAGTTTCCTTGCGTGGTTTATTTTTAAAAAATAACAATAAATAAATGAAATAATTTTTAATTTATTCCATTCTCCATCCATCTTAGGCATGCATCGGGCAGCAGTCCTTCTCTCTCCGATGTCTCGTTGATTCGGCTGACCCCCCAGAGGGGGTCTACAGACTCCCCCAGCTACCCTCTCTACATGCAGCACTATGTGGACCAGTTTAGGGGCAGTCCTGCCATGTCTGCGCTGTCGCATGCACGGGGAATCAGCCCCAGCGGCTCCTATGGTGAGTCATGTTGTTAATTGGTCAGATTTTTTGTACCAAACGAAGGCACTGTATCGTCGCCATTTTCTGGCTACAAACAGTTAAAATAAAACGTTTATTGAAGAAAGTTAGCAGCTTTACTAATATAAAATTTAAGAAAGTAGAAACAGGTAATTACTTTTTAAATCAAAGTAACAGTGTACCCCAAAAATTGTGTTATTCCATTCCTGGCCTTTTCGCTAAAAAAATATAGCCTATCGAGGAAGTGATTGAAACAGAAATTATAGTCCAATATTGGATGTTTTCAAACCCCATATAAGGTAAGCTTATTATAGGGTAATGTTCAGTCCCAAAAAATTATATTTCTAATTTTTTTTATTATGATAATACCACAAAAATTTGCTCAACCCTAACCGCCCTGAATCCTTCAAAATCCTCTTTGTCAAAGTGGAGGAATTTGGAGGATTGAGGTTACATGGCAAAAGTGTGTTACTGATTTCGTAGGCTGCTCTTTGTCAAGGTCTTGGGCTGGACCTTGTGTTGTTTTTGCTCAGCCATGCATAAATACAGGCCTGGATGATGCTTGAAATCCTCTGTACTGCTCCAGGATGATACTGGCCAAGCCTCAACATATTGACAGTCACTGCCGCAGAAGTTTGCAGGATTCAGGCAGTGGTCACCCCTCCACGGACCATATTCAAGAAATAATGGAGGAATTTGCAGGATTGAGGCTATATGCTATTTTTCCATGAGGCCAATTAGAGGATTTTGCAGGATTGAGGCTAGATCCTAGCAAAAAAGGCCAAGGGAGTTAGGGTTAAAGTCAGTTCCAGTTTCAAGTTCTTCCTATTCCAGACTAGGTGATCATTATTTAGTTTAACGTGATCCTCACAGTTTTTGTATTTGTTTCCAGTCAAATTGGTGTACTGTACAATGTCAGTGAATTCTAAAGTAATTGGATACATGTACATTTAACATGACACGGACACTCTGCATGCCTCAACTGAAATTGATTTTGCTATTTTTTTTTCTTCAGAGCAGTTTTCGTACGTCTCGAAGAGTTTTGCTTGTTTTGATTTTTAACTGGAATTTATTGGAATTTATGTGCACTGGGAATGATTTTGTTTGTCTAACGCTCGTACAAAGTTCATACCACACTTAACTCACATTTTGTAAATCAGGTCAACAAGACAAGTCATCACGAGTGAATCACAAAAAACTCTGTCACATGTCATCCACTGATAGTGGTCCCAAGTCCAGTGACATGCTAGTATTCCACAGAAACTGTGACAAGGGCATTCCTTTGTCATTGTTTACTCCTCTGTTTACTTGTGACTGACTTGAGATTGAACTTGTTGACATGTGATTGATCTCTCGATTGATTGAACATGTAACTGTGTAACTTCATTTAACCCTAACCCTCCCAAATCCTCCAAAATCCCCTTTGCAAAATGGAGGATTTTGCAGGATTGAGGCTACATGGCAAAAGTGTGTTGCTGATTTCGGAGGATGTACTGTGTCAAGGTCTTGGGCTGGATATGTGTTGTTTATGCTCAGCCGTGCATGCCTAGATTATACTTGAAATCCTCCACACTGCTGCAGGATGTCACTGGCTCTGCCTCAACATAATTGACGGTGATTGTCGGAGGATTTTGCAGGATTGAGGCAGTGGTCACCCCTCCCAGGACCACATTCAAGAAATAACAGAGGATTTTGCAGAATTGAGGCTATTTTACATAGATGCAGCTGGAGGATTTTGCAGGATTGAGGTTACATCCTAGCAAAAATGCCTAGGGAGTTAAGATTTAAATCAAATTAATTTGATTTATATCACCCCGACGCAAAATTCCATCTTATAAGAGTTAGGGTTTAAACCACATTTTCACTGACATTTAACAAATGATTTTCAGGAAAGTTCCTTTGCGTGTACATACATGTACCTCTATGACTTGCTTTATCGCTAGTTGAAAGTCCAACATGCTCGTTGTGGTAGGATATTTTTGTAATGAAGCAGTCTTATCTTTTCCATAATTGGATTTTGAACCTTCCAGTCCTGCAAAAATAACAAATTTTTAATCTTGTTTGAGAAGTTAACAAATCAGAGTTAACATTGGGAGTTTTTCTAGTTGCTACCTCAGTGTCATTTTTATTTATTTATTAATTTTTTTTTTTTCCATGGCATAAAATTGTTGGGTGTTTTTAACTTTGGGCCATGTCAACTGACACTTCAACATCTCTTCAAATAAAAACAAATCTTGTAAAAAGGAGATTTACTAAAACAAAAGAGGAAAAAAGACAGAAAAAAAAGGAAAAACACATTGGGTCAGTCTCTTATGGGTTAGTATGTGATGCAAGTGTGATGGTACATGGTGCCCTCTGGAGACATGTGCACAATAGGAAACAAAGATTGTATACATCTCCAGCAATTTCTAAAGGTGAATACATCTCCACAAGGTTATCACGAAATAGAAATATGGATTTTACTCAAAAATTAGGAATTTCCAAAGTGTGTTGACTTGTCACAAATTGAAGTATTTTATGTAAGGGATATTAAATCTGAATTTCAGCCCAGGAAATTAATTCTGGTTAAAATAGGAGCATTTTGAAAGTACATTTTCAAACTCCAAAACTTTAGTACACGAGGGCAAAGAAATGACTCCACAAGGATATAAATTCCAGAATGTGTGTTTGAAAATGTTCTTGTTTTAGCACTACACTGTGAGTGATTAAATAAACATGTACGTATCATTGGGCGTCTGAAGTCTGTACATGTCTGGAATGATAGAGTGATTATTGCTTGACGAAAGACGAAACCCTGAAAGTCATGGAATATAGACCAAGAGATAGTCACATACATGTAGTTTGCATTAAACTAGGACATGAACAGTTTATCTGAAGAAGATATTCATTCATGTACATGCGATCACGTACTGCCTGTTTCTGTGAGGACATCACGTTGGCTTCAAGATTGACCAGAAATTTTCTTCCAATACTTGACCGATAACATTTGCGACTGGATTAGGTTGGGGTTGTAAGCGGATATCAGAGAAACAGTCCTCTCCAGTGGATGACAAGCCCTCCGGCTTTAGTGGACATTCTTTTGAGGAAGCTTGAGGTCAGAGGTCACTGTAAGGTGACCTGAGCTCTGCTGAGGAGATTTCTTTTGACAGGAGAAAGAGCGAGAGAGAACGTGCATGTAATGTAATTTCCTTCTTAGATTTTTGTTTAGCACAGCCTATTAATAAGGGAATAAATATGTGCTTGGTCAGTATTAAACACTCTGTTTCAGACCAGTTGGAGTCTGGATGCTGCTAATTACCCGAGCCGAAGGTGAGGGTAATTATCACAAGGCGAAGGATTGTGAACGTTCACGGGATTTCATAGTACATGTACTAGTAGTCAAAATTTTATGTGACACTGGAAAAGTGTATAAGACCAGCCAGCCATATCTTTATCAACCGTTTAAAACCGGCCACGTGACGGGCTCTCGACCAATAGGAAACTGTATTTATTAATACAGTATAACTGTTGGTTGTCTTGCAGTTAGAAACTATGAATTTCTCAAGAAATATCTTGTAGATTATTCTTAACAACCCCCTCCCTTTCCAAAGAAAAGAATTACTGTAAATTAACTGCTTTTAACCACTTGCTGCCGGGATTATTTTTGGCGGAAAAACACCATTTCTTTTTTTAACCTACGCTCAGTTAGGATATTTCATGATAATTTGACTGACTTTCATGTTTGGATGTTTGCATTATTCAATTACCTCTAAGGTCGATTCAGGTAGAATGGTATACTAAGTATTTTTGTCTCATGAAAGGTCCGTTAATGTTATCTTATTTTTCTCTCGATTTGTTATTTTTGTTTCAGGCGAGGGCGCCATTCCGCCCAGCCATCCCAGCAGCATGCCCTACCACAGCCATCTCAGTCAGCACAGTCTCATTGCTCCGGAGTTCCTCAGTGGCCCGCCCAGCACAGCCGGGAGTATCGAACACCCGGCGCTAGATGTGGGATCCATTGAAGGTAGTTTGCAAATGCAGCATAGACATAGATAGATAGATGATACAGAATGGTTTAAGGGGAAGTGGTAGTGCGAAATTACTGTTCCTGAGGCGTTAGCCAATTTGACTACTCATAACGCGAAGCTGATGGAGGAAGTCAAAATCAGCCAAGATCAGATGGACCACTTATTTCGCACTTCTTTCCCCCTCCCCCAAAAGAAAACTTTTTTTTTTTAAAAGACATGTTTCGTAAATTAAAAAAAAGAAGTTTTGTTTGTCTTTTTATACCTCATTCATACTTAACTTTCACTCTCAAAAACTGGAATAAATTTTATAATAAATCCGTATAATTGTAAGGTTTTTAATACGTTACAACTAGCAACGGTACTTGCCATGGCTCGTAATACGCCGTAGAAGTGGTTACGTCATACGCCACTGAAGTCACGCATTGCCCGGGATGATGTGTCCACACACACACGGCCTAACGTAGCAATACGCACTGTGTCCACTTTTTCATCAATTTTTCATCCATTGGAAAAGAAAAATAACCGCACCCGTCACGTCGTGAGTGACGACTACAGTCAGCTACGAAGCACTGGTCCAATTGTCCAGTCTGAGATTTTTCAACTAGTATATGATCATCTAAATTGCTTGTGTAAATCGTATGGTAGACATGGCGGAGGAGACATTGTTTTGACACATCACTATTGGAGATGACCCCGCGTGACGTCACACTTCTACAGTGTATTACATATCCCTTTTCACACTAGACAAATCTCGGGATTGACACAGGGTTGACGCAGGGTTGAAAACATGCATCGTTCATACTTGAAGAATTTCAACCCTGCGTCAACCCTGCGTCAACCCTGCGTCAACCCTGAGATTGATTTGACCCGGGGTTGAACTCAACCCTGCTCCAGACCAGTGTTGAGATTTTCAACCCGGGTTGAAATTCTTGCCAGGGTTCAAAACAGTGGTAACTGAGCATGATAAGCTCAATTTGCATGAAACAAGTGTGAAACGATGCAGGGTTGAATGCGGGGTTGAAAAATCAAAAACTCAACCCGGGGCAGCACTGAGGTCGCCCAGGGTTGAGTTCAACCCAGGTTGAGAGGCTCCAGTGTGAAAAGGACTAGCATATGCACATGTCAATGGAAGTGGCTAAAGCGCTCCCATAGACGTGTGTGTTACTGCCATAGCCATAGCCATAGCCTTTACATTGTAACCTTTCATTGATCTATTGCTTCTAAAGAAACCTTTACACGCAAGTGCTCACTGATGTCAAGTTGCCTTTGTCCCCCCTCCTTTCTCCAAGGTTCCCGTTTTTCCACCCCGCGTCCCAGCGATCGCCGCAGCCGCAAGAGGGCGCTGTCCATCTCCCCTCTCTCCGGCGAGTGCCTGGACATCAACGCCATGATCCGTACCTCGCCCAACTCCCTGGTGGCTTACATCAACAGCTCCCGCAGCTCTTCCAGTGCCAGCGGGTCCTACGGCCACCTCTCTGCTGGGGCTGTGAGTCCACTGAGCTGGCACCCCTCTGCAACGCCAATAGCGCACCTGCAGCAGCTCCAGCAGCAGCTGATGAGACAGAGGCAAGTCTATATAGATAATTGAATGCCTGGTCAGACCAAAGTTCCGGAATTGATGCGGCGACGCGGCTTTTAAAAAAAAAAATGTGCCTTTTGTTTTCTTCCAAGCTTGGATTGTACTTGGATGGACTACACAAAATTCAGGGATATTTTAGGTACTATTTTGCTTTTAGATACTATTTTGCTATTTTAGGTACTATTTTGCTTTTTTTGGGGTGTCCTCATGTACATTGGTGTCCTCCATAATTTGCCTTGGTGCCCTCGATCATTTGCCTTGATGCAATTTCCCATTCCTTGGTGCTCTTTGGTAAAAAAAATTGAGGATGTGCGGCAATAGAGGGCGCTGTTGGAGCTACCACAGAACATTTTGGAAAAAAAAAAGGATTGACGCGCATGATTAAAATCGACGCGTGCGCTGACCAGAGACCGACTATTTTGTTTGTTTGTTGCCTAAAACAGTATTAACAGAATTATATACACCTTCAGCTACCACAAAATTTCTCACCCATGAAACAATTGCCCACCTACAGGTCCGGCATAGGAAATCCTTTCATGCCGTCTGGCATCCCGCCCCCGTCAGCAGCCGTACAGCATCATCCGGCGATGGCTACCCTGCTTGCCCGCGCCCACCCCCACCCCCACCCATCGGGTAACGCTAACGAGGAACCCACAATGCCAGCGATGACGGTTGACGTGATCGGCAAACACGGCATACGGACTGGAGCAGATAAAAATTCCACGGACTCATCCCAGGTTAGCATTTTTGTTATGAGAATTTCAGCGGTTAGTCCAATAATTCTTCATGAATTCAAGTATAATCTTACTTGAGCAAAGATAATGTTACAACATCTTTTGCATGTTTTTTGGCCCACTTTCAAGACTTGCAAACCACTTATATTTCAAGAGATATATGTACTCTGCAGAAGAGAACCATGTTCTGAAAGTTTGCGTCATGTGACCATGACGCAAAATAAGATCTAGAACTCTCGGTTAAAGTGGAGTAGGCCCATATTGTGCCTAGTACAAGTACACACAATTTCATCGGTATCACGTCAGTCACAAGTCGGTCACATGTTAGTCACAAGTCAGTCACATATCAGTCAAAAATCAGTCTCAAGTCAGTCACAAGTCGGTCACAAGTCATAAGTCAGTCACAAGTCATAAGTCAATCACAAGTCATTCATGAGAATACCGTGCATTCCAAAGATGGCTCAGACTGGAATTCAGTTATGCTTAGAATTCAATTACGCTAAGCTTCTGCTTGCTGATTGCTCAAAGTTTTGTTCTTCAATTTTACAACTCTAGCATGTGTCTCTGAACCTTTCCAACAACTGTTGGTGGACAGAACAGGCTTTACAATAATATATGTGTGAGTGAAAGTGAAAAGCAAGCAAATTTCATGACGTCAGCAATCAAAGTTTCATTGTGACGTTTGTCGTTTCCCTAACGAATTCACTTCGCACTGAAATTTGCATGAAGTATTAACCGGCATTTACATAGATCTTAATCACCTTATGTTCTCTGGGTTGATAACTCCTGCTCTTCGTTTGTTTCCCGTCATCCTGTACAGGAGGGACACAGCCCTCAGAAGCTCCTAGAACCCAACAACAACAACCTGGTGACCAGCAGCCTGGATCCCGCCGACAGAAACCACAGGCATGACGCCTCTCCAAATATAGTCTCCTCCACCTGTCACGTCGACAACAAGAAGGCGTCACCGGGCGGGTACAGGGGAGGGTCGGAGAGGCACGGCAAGGAGGCTGGGGTCGGGGTGGAGGATGGCACCAAGGGACTGATAGAGGAGGACATACCAGTGGTGACGGATTGCGAGTGGAATGACTGCCAAGCTCGATACGACACCCTGGAGCAGCTGGTGCAGGTGGGCGACGGGTTGATTGCAGTCGTAAGGTTGCTTGCGGAGTTTGCGACTGAGACTGCCACTCCTTGGTCAGCCTAGGGATCCTTCCTTTCTGTCAGTCAAACAGTGTGCAAAGGCCAATTAGATCATGACTTATGGTCACCTGACCATTGTAGCTTGGTCAAACTCGGTCACAAACACTGTGAGAAATGCACACAAGCCAAAGATGGGCAGGCTTATCCAAAACACTCTGTTCAGCAACAACTTGAATTTTGGGGTCACTGGATTCTTGAGATCAAAACTCTGTCACACAGTAAACAGCATTGTAGGTATTACAGTTCATTCAAAGTCTTGTATTCCCTGCAATATCCCATTACTTCTGCCTCTGTTTAAGCAAGTGTTGCATGTGGCTGAGTTTGGCAGGGTTTCTAGCCAAAATGCCCTGGAGGATTACTTAATGAAGAGTTCTTGACAGTTGATAATAATGCCTGCAGTGCCTACTTTACTCCTGCATCCAAGAAGTTCCATGAAAAAGTCTGTCTGTCAATCTTGCCGTAAATTTTTATTCTGAGAAGAAATGAAACTGGGATGTTATTGATGAGTTTTGATGGCTTGTCTTCCAAACAGCACATCCTGAATGATCACATCCACAACGAGCGGAAAGAGTTTGTCTGTCGGTGGCGGGGCTGCATCCGGGAGGAGAAGCCGTTCAAGGCTCAGTACATGCTGGTGGTCCACATGAGACGACACACCGGGGAGAAACCCCATCAGTGCACGGTGAGTTGCAAATCATGAACCCGAGGAAAGCAAATCAGTAACTCCTGTTCAGACGGGCATTCAAGAGTTCCCCTTAGGATTCAGTTTGACCTAAGGGCCTGTCTCAACTCATATCCGAGATGAGTTCCAGACAACTTGCAGGTAGAATCATTCTATTTGTCTGGAAGAAGCTCTGCATTTGTCCCTGACATGTTCTGGGAAAATTTTCATGAACAACTGCTTGACTCATCAGTTCTGATAACTTCATTCCAGAAAAATTGCGGGGAAGTTGTTCAGAATCCTGCAACTTATACCTAATGCAATGTCTGGAACTTGTCCAGAACTCGTCCCGGTTATGAATTGAGACGGGTTCTAACTAGAGCTCAGTTTCACACAGGCAAACTCTATGTGCTCCTTTTCCATCAACCAAACTTTTCCATTTAGGTACGAAAGGACTGCCAGAGTCAATGTTTTGCAGAGAGTTGCTTCTAATTGTTGCAAACGTCAAACTTAATTCTGATCTTTGGAATAATTTGGTTAGGTGCGACTGTGTCATGTTTTCACTGAAACCTCTCATGAGGTGGCTTCTGCGCATTGCATGGATCAACTGAGCACCAGAAACTTGACTTGAACTTTGTTTTAAAATGTGCTAAAAGCTTGGCGGCCACTCTGAGCAGTTTTAGTTGATTGGCTTACTTGATTGGCTCTCTGTAAACCGAGGTGTGCATGAGTGGTTTAAGTAACAATGTGAGTAACAATTTCCATTTGTCTGGTGACAGTTTGAGGGTTGTAAGAAGGCGTACTCGCGTCTGGAGAACCTCAAGACTCACCTGCGGTCCCACACCGGAGAGAGGCCTTACGTCTGTGAGTTCCAGGGGTGCACCAAGGCTTTCTCCAATGCATCCGACAGAGCTAAGCACCAAAACCGAACACATTCCAATGCCGTAAGTACTTGCCTTGCTGTCGTCATCTTTATTTTAGTACAGTTAATTGGACAGTACCAATTAAAGTTTTTTTAAAAGATTTTTAAGGTTTAGTTGAATCCGATGTATAGATTTTGATATATTAAAGGCATACAAGATTGTTTGCTTTTCGTGCATTGTTTGCATTTTGTTCGTTTTTAATAATAACACTACTCAAAATCCAAAGTGAATGTTCAAAACCTAACCTGTTGAAGTTTCAGCTCAGTGGATGTTACACTTTTTGAGAAAATAGTGAGAAACCATGCACAACCTTTTGATCATGATTTCATTAAAATGCCTCTTGATTGTTTATTCTCAACAATCAGTCAATTCCCTGATCGTTGGAAATCGCTTACATTTCTTGATTTCTTCTAAATGACAGCAAGCCAGATGCAATCATTTCACGGGGTGTTTAGTACCAGTGTGATCTTTAATCCAAATAAGCTTTTAATAATAATTTGCTAGGTTATGTTTGGGATAAATGCAACTGAACCTATATGCTTTAATTGTTTTGCAGTCCATTTTGCAATTTTTTTTTAAAGTTGAGTCGAGGTGGTTGTGATTGAAGATTCGTCAATTTCCTTGTGTTGATGGAAGAAGAATTATCACAACTGAATATTTAGGTGGTCAGTTGGGATTTGTTAAGGGTTGGGGTATATCTATTGTCGTCTCTTGTAAAGGTTTAATTGAATGAGTTTTTAAAAATATTTGTGTGTGAAGATATCCTAAACCCTAAAAGGGCCAATTGAGTGAAATCTTTACCTGTGTACTCTTCATGAAAGTCTCATCTAGCCAACAAAATTTCATACAAATCGGTCATTGAAATTATTTCCTAGATAGGAAAAAAGTGTGGTGGACCCTCCCCCCCCCCACCCCGTGTCTGTAAGATTGCTATTCTAGGGTAAAGTACTCGTATGTTCAAATTTTTCCCCATTATCATAATTTAATTTTCCCTCCCCATTCTTTCTCACAGAAACCCTACGTGTGTAAGATCCCAGGCTGCACCAAGCGTTACACGGACCCCAGCTCCCTACGCAAGCACGTCAAGACGGTGCACGGTCCCGACGCCCACGTCACCAAGAAGCAGCGCGGGGACAAACACGACCAGACGCCGGGCGGGGCCGGGGAGGGCCAGACTAGGGACCAGCAGCCCGGCTCGGTCAAGTCTGAGAGCGCCGAGAGTGTGGACGGCAGCGTGGTCAGTGTGGGTCGTCGTAATGACCGACCGCCCAGCCTGCCTCCCTCTGACTTGCACATTGACGTGGTGCATGTACGTATATCTCTAGTCCTTTTTGGACTATCCAAAATCTCTGTGTTGGACCTAGACTTGATGACAAGTCGTCAGATAGTCGTATTGTGTCCATGAACTTCAGTCGAACTTCGTCGGCGTGGCTGGTATAAGACTAGTTTGAATCGGCAGGGTTGCCACAAATCTAACGACTTGACGATTACGTTCTCGCACCGTTATTCATATATGCAAGCAGCGCAATACATATGCAGTGCATTTTGGTGGTGAGATCCAGTCGTGCACCACTATGCAAATGAGGACTCATTCATTCCGTTACATGGCGAGTTCTTCTCAATACGTCAGGGACATGTTTTTGCAGATCTGGCGACGTTTTAACGACCAATACACTCAGCTTGGTCAATTGTGTATAGAAATAAACTGTGTCATTGTGATATACTTGATGTATTTGAGTCGTATATGCCCTATAATGAGTTTTGTAATGTTACACAACAAAAATACAAACCCTGAAGGTAATGAGAATGATCTTCCGTGGTGGCCTAGAATACACTCTGAAATCTGAACCAATCAGAGTGCTCGCATAGAATTCCCTAGCAATTCAAAATACTCCCATATGTTGTGTACCAAAATTGAAAATGTTTTTTCTAAGTCGGTAAAAAATCTTTATGCATATGAAAATGCACTGCGTTCCAAGTGTAGACCTTGGCCGAATGATTTAAGGTAAGACACTATTATTAAGAGGACTGGCATCATTCAATGGAAGATTTTGTTATAAAACAGCAAGTGAAACAGCAGGATGCCTCCCATGAACAAATTTATGGAACTGTATAACCTAAAGCTGTGTCTGAACAGGGTCTTGAAGTTGAAATGCGCGAGGCCATTAAAGTACAGATATTTTAAGGGAGCGGTTTTCCTTTTTCATGAAAAACAACATGTATGTCAGTCTCCTTTTTTTTCTGAACGAAACTGCGCAATACAGGACAGCCCGGCGACTGAATGCCTGACGCTGCAACACGAGTACAGCTGCTCCCCGCACAACGACAGCGGCGTGGAGATGACCATTCCCGGGGAAGCCTGACGGATCTGACCGCCATCGAAGACGATAAGATCCAGGATGACCACATCAGCTCCAACATGGGTCCGTCCAGTCACGGACGGCGCGGCGGTGGGGGGCGGACCAGAGGGTCCGCGCTGACCACCCTGCCGTCCCAGACGGTACGGCCCGTCAGTCCGTTGGTCTGTAAGCCGTCACGGCAGAAACTGAAGGTGAACGCGCCGGCAGTGAATCGATTGGCACAGAAGGTCAAGACAGCACAGGGGTTACCGCAACTGCCGCAGATCAATACAAGAAGTGAGTAACACTATAGATTCCAATAAACCTCCTTGTTTGCAAGATTGCTTTTCGTTTCCAAAACTCTAATGGCTTATTAGAATTTGAAAAATGTATAAATGGTGTCCAACCCCCCCCCCCCCAAGAGCTCCTGTTCCACCAGGAACTCCCTTCCACACCCCAACCCTTTCAAATGTGCAATACCTGGGAAATGTCAGATTATGCCATATTCATTGACCCAGTTGTTGACACAGATTTATGCTGCTGCTACAAGCAAGTGTGTGTCATCATTTTTAACATAATTGATTATGGGAAGAACAGATTTGCAGTTTGAATAGTGCAGAGCATAGCTAACGTGATGTCTTCGACTTGTAATATTTGTTTTGTTAGGAGGGGCTATCATCAATACCTCCAGCGAGTTCAAGCCCAAAGATCGCATCATCGTCAAGCTGCAAGCTGAGGAGATGGGTCGTTGTGACAGCAGCCAGTCGTTCCTCGGTTCTATGGATAACCTCGGCATGCGACGCGGCAGCAACGGCAGCACCGTCAGCTCCTACTACAGCAGCCGACGGTCCTCTGAGGCTTCGCCATTCCCTCTCAGCCAATTCTCAAGCCGACGGTCCAGCGAAGCCAGTACCTACTTGTCCTCTCGGAGGGCGTCGGGCGCCAGCTCGCAGTATTCAAACAGGCTCGGGGCCACCAGCTCCACCTATGACCCCATCTCCCCTGGGTCGTCTCGTCGCTCGAGCGGAGCCATGAGTGGCATGAGCGGACCCACAGGCCTCCCCGGGTTAACTCTGCAAGAGCAGCGACGCCTACAGGCTAAGTATGATCAGGTGACCGGACAGCACAATTCCTGGGGCGAGGAGAGGTTTGCTCCCTCCCCGCTACCCGGGTACAACGGGAATCGACACAGCAGCTTTCCCTGTCGTACCCCGTTACCCCACGAGGTACCCGGTGTGGGGATCCGGAGGGCTAGCGACCCGGTCCAACAGAGACAGCAGGAACCCGTCTTGTACCGCTTCAACAGCCTGAACAACATCAACCCGTTGCCCGTACCCCAGAGCATGACCAGCTTGAAGCAGCAGCACCAGCAGCAGCAGCAGCAGCGATCGCGCCCCATGGAAATGCCGCCGGTGATTAACAACCAATGGCAAGATATGGCCGGGGATAACTCCATGGTTCCGCACGGAGGCACGATGGATATGATCGACGAAAACCCAACTGGCGACATGATGCCCATGGAGAAGGACATGTACCAACCGATGATGCCACCCACTCAGAACCAAGGCTACAACAACGGGTACCCTGAACCCAAAATGATGAACAGTGGTTACGGGGACGGCAACGAAATGCTGCAGCCAGGATTAGGGAACGTGAACGGTCAGTATCAGAGGAACCAAATGCAGATGACTGAAGCGCAGTATATTCAGCTGCAACATCAGCGGCAACAGCAGCAACAGCAGCAGCAAGCGTACCAAAACTCACTGCCCAATTCCATGGAGATGTCACCACGATGTAACCAGGTCAGCAGCACGGTAGACAATCCCTACGACCAGCAAGCAATCCCCCAGATGGAGTGCGACGACCCGATGGCCACAGGACTGGCCGCCCTGTCCGCCGACGGCTTGGACAATGTCCAGCCGCTCATCCCCAACCTGGTCAGCCCCACGGACCTAATGAACGGCATTGGCTGCGACAGTCCAATGGTGCCCAACATGAACCCTGTCTCCAATATGGTCGTCAACGACATGTCTTCCATGCTGACGTCGCTGGCCGAGGAGAATAGGTACTTGAATATGATGAGCTAAGAGTTCCAAGCGTGGAGTGAACCACCACAAATACCCCCATCAACGGTGCAAAAGACGGGTGTTCTGATGTTGCAGGATACTTGACAACTTTTTTCAGTATATCGTGCCAGCATTGGTCTTGTATCAGTATTCATGCAGAATCAGTGTGCTGTTTATGTATTCAGTATAACGGCCTCTCGGGCCAAACACATTTGGCGATGGCATTCTAGGCCTCTATTAACTCTAACCATACAGCTAGGCTCTAACAGTCCTGGATCCTGCAGTTGTTATAACCGCTAGTCATTAAGGGTTAAAGAGCTCAAGATTAGTTTTATTGCTCTGATCTTTTCCCTGCTTGGACAATGTGCCCCAGCGCTTGTTTGCAAAATTAGCGCAGTGCGCGTATTTTACTTCAGTTCTTATCTTATTACCCTAACCCTCCAGGGTATCTTGGCTAGAAACCCTGCCAAAGACAGCATTATGCGACACTTGTCTAAATGACAAGCCTGCCCAGTGTAGCAAGATCCATCAGGTAAAAAGTCTCAAGACCAACTTGCCTCAGAGTTGGTGGTTACGGAATGTAGCAGGATACAGCTGTGGCATTGTTCAATGGGATTAGCTCTCAGTGTCTCAGAAGCAGCTGTTTATGCACTGGTGTTGGTAGCTGAACCCATCAAAGTGCACCAGACTTTTCCACCTGATGCACTGTGTTGCGTCTGGCAGGGTTAGGGTTACGACTTTGCAAGTCTCAAAAAATTCTAATATCTGAAGAAGAAAAATTTGATGTTAGAAAGACTACTTAATAGTAAAACTTGAGATGCAACTATCACTGCATTAGTGCTCTGAATTCATGAAAAATATACTAATTTATCTCTGGAAAACAGGTTGGTTAAAAATGAATTCAAGGAATAGTGAACAAGATTTCATTTTGTAAAAATATTGTACAGCTGTGAACCATCTCTCAGGGAAACATACGTGTTGACATTTACTTGAAACAACTTCATACTTGCTATATACTCAACCAATTAAACAAAAATTTCAACAAAAAATACTATCCCACCAGTGTACATGTACCTTGTAATTTGATTTAAGATCTATGCAAAGTTGATTCCATCGTGAAAGTCTTCTTCAGTTGAGATAAATTCATCTATTTAAATTTTTTTTTTTTTTTTACATTTTTTAAACATTTTTACATTTTTATAATTTAACAGATCGCTGTTAAGTAAGATGCTTAAAATTGAAGGAATTTGATTCATTGTTCAGGATACATTTTCTGGACATCAAAATCATTAATTAAATTTGCTGAGAAATGCCTTGTTTTTAAAACAGTTACATTTAAAAAAACTGTTCAGCTGAAAGCAGCTCATTTGTAAATAAAAGAGCTGATTTAAATAGAACTGTCTTTTACTTAAATATAAAAATAGAATATTTCTAAGATATTGCAGTCTTCCCCACCTTTAAGTATTATATTGAAACTATGCAGAATTATTAACTTTTCAAAATGTAACAGTACTTAATGTTACAAAGTACGTCAAGGTCACTTCATAAATATTACGTAAATATTTAATATGAAAAAAAATCTCAATTATAATATAAGTGCCTTATCAATTGGAATGAAAACAAGTCGCTTGGACTTATTACTGACAAGTATTTTAAAAATCTGATCAGGTTACATAAAGATTGACTATTTTTGCACTTGCATTATGTTGATAAAAAGAGTAATTTTTCAAACCTATGTACATATTCCTCCTTAGACAATTAACACAACTCTAAAATCGATCATTTATACCTTGAAGCTGCCTTGGAAAAAAAATTGAAAATCAAAAATTGAAACATCAATAAAATGATGTGTTTATGTATTCAGCTAGATTTGTAATGCTGTAGACTTTCTGCTAAAGCGCAGCAACGGAAATTGTTGTACTAGAGAGCCTGAACTTACGAACTATGAATTTGTTTACAGTATGAAAACTGTTCAAGGCAGAAATATCTAAACAGCATTTAAATACTATAAATGCGTTATCTGTTAGTTGTGTATTTAAGCTTACCTACGGGGAGGGGCAGTGTTGCTTAGGACAAGTTTTTCAAGTAAGCTAAAATGCATCCTTATAAAGCAGAAATGTTCACACTATTTTGTGAATTGAAAATAGAAAGGCTGAACAATCAAACAAAAACAAAAATTTAGTAAAAAAGCTTTAAAAATTGATGCTCTGACAAATTTTAAAAAAATGCTTCTTTGCTTGAATGCTTCATGATCACCAATCTTCATATCAGCAACTTTTGCAAGTTCAAAGTTTTGATTAAAAAAAACGATATCTTAAATGCATTACAAAACTGCTGAAATGTTGTTCCCTATAAAGAAGCATAACACTTTTTTTACCAGTTGAAGACTATATATATGACAGTGTGCTGCTATTTTTAAACCAATTTATAAATTCCCGTGTCGAAGATTATCCTTTCTAAACAAAAAAAGTCCATTTGTTATCGTGCTATTAAAGGTGCACCGAAAATACTATGCAATGGAAACGAGGCTGAAGAGTTTATATAAATAGTTTTTATAGTACAAAATTTATCAAACTAACAAAAACTTATATTAACAACTTGTACATAAATAATATGGTACTTTAATTGACGGTACTGTTTTCCATAAGAGAGTGTGCTCATTAATTAGATATAGATTTTCAGAGAATTTCTTTGCATTCTTCTTACTGTTTTTTAGAAATCATCTATGGAATATTTAATACTTTCAAAACCATTTTGTGCGGATATAGTTGTTTCCATTTTGGATTCAAAATGACTGGTTACTTTTCCTTCTGTAGTAAAGCCTGCTGGAAAATCTTGGACTTTGTTAGAACAAAGGGAAATTATAACAACAAAAGAACGAGGATAATTTTCTGTGGAGTGTTGAGGAGGAATTGGAAGTGCCTATTGGTATTTGGCCGTGTCTAATTTTTGTTTTTAATGGCCAACACTGTTTTTTAGCATTTTCTGCTAGGCCTGGTTTTGAAAAGATATGGTACGTTTCCCAACTTATCGTTTCTCTAAAAAAAACAGTTTTGAGTGTTTTAAACAACTTTCAGGTAAGTGAGAAGAAAATCGAAAAATAGATTCAAAAATCCGAAATAGTGTCTCTAAGGCCTTCACAATACAATTAAGGTTAACAGGAATTTCAAAGCAAACGCCGATTATTTTTTTTTTTCAATTGGAATTGAAATCTACTTGTTACATTTTGTTTTAGACTAAAGTCCCTATAACATCACTGAAAACAATTTTCCTCAAAAAATGTCATTGACACTTTGTCAGTTGGTGTGGTGTGAAAGTTTGACTCTATTGAAATACGGACTGATTGAACATGATTTAGACAGTGACAGGTCACGTGTGGGGGTAAGTGTCCATATAGGGCAAAAGAGACCATATTTTCATAGGAGTCCAAATTTTGTATGGCACCGGCATTTCATGGCTGATCATGTAACCCAATCAGAATCATTTTTAGATGGCGGAGTGAAGTAAACCAGTTTGTAACAGGACTTTCTATAGGCTGGAATATTTGTTTTCCCTCTGGAGAAGTGGAAGTAACAACTGTATAAGTTTTATGCGTTGCATGTGAGAAATATTGAGTGGACAAGGGGACGATTCCTAAAAGTAATATACAACATTTGCTTTTGCTGTAATTTTCAGAAATGGATGGATTTGGGGGTAAGTATTTTTATAGAAAATATTGTCACACTGACCTGTTTATAGTTTCTTGTTCATAGATGTTGGACAAAAACAAGAAAAAAATGCTGTTTATATAGTCAGGTTCCCTGACCCTACTTCAGATGAAACAGAGCAATTTATGAACGTTGGGGAAATGTCAGGTCAGGGAACCAGACTAGCAGCTTGCACCCGTTCAAAATGTGGACAACTAAATTTGGTAATGGGGGCAGTATTTGAAAAAACGTCAGTTTATTTCCAACGCTGGTCGGCTGACCATCGTTGGAAATTGATACAAAATTCCATTTTGCTTGAAAATGACAGCACACCAGGTGCCGTGATTTCACAGGATGCTTGAGACAATTATTCACTTACAGTCAAGTAAGGTATTTCATTATAATTTGGTAGTTTTGTTTTTTGATGTTTGCAAATGTCGTATATTACCTTTAAATAGTCGGGAAGTTACTGTTCAAAATCATTCTATGCAATTGGTTTAAATCAGTCGCATAGTAATGTTGAAAATAGTACAATCTTAATTGTTTTTAATTGCCTGGATTTTTTTGAATATCCGTCCAATCAATTGTATTGTACTTTTTGGCATATTGTAGTCATGACAATTTATTGCACTGAGTTTTAATAGGCATGGATTATTTGACCAAACATTTTGTCTATTCGACGATGAAATTTTGTATATATATACATACATTACTGCTTAACTATGCATGGCCAAAGAAATGTGTAAGAAAAATATTACGAAACCTTTGTTTCCTTTTTCTGTTAATTTTTTTTATAATGTTAAGTTTTTGTTTTTATCATAGAATCATGTAGATGAAGAAATCAGTTAATCTCGTATTAATAGTGTAGGTTTTTTTCTTGCCATAATGGAGATGCATACATGTACGTCAGACACTGTATGTGGGAGTTATTTTCAGTGAGAATTTAACAGCAATATAATAAACGAATATTGCATATTTTTGAAATCTGGATAGGTTTTTAATTTTTGTTGTTTTGAGTGTTATGCCTTCCTAGACATCTATGGTAAGAGGTTTTGTTTCAGTTATTCGACAAGATGGAATGAATTTTAAGTATGGTTTCGCAAAAGACAAAGGGCCCCCCAAAAATAGTAATGACACATTGGCGTGTGCCCTGTCAAGGAACCAAACGTGTAGCAACAGGAGGTGTTGCCTAGCAACCATTCAATGAACAAATTTATGCTGTTTTCCCCCGGGAATCGATATTATCAAAAAAGCCATTAGATAATGGACCTGTTGTACATGTATGTGATTGTGTGAGTGGCTTGTCCTTTTACAGCTGCTTGTACCGTGAAAAAAATTGTTCCCTTGTATTTTTCTCTGAATGAATTCCAATCGCGCAATTAAAACATCCTTTTTGAAAATTGTATACAGCGGTATTGCAGGAAAAATCTAAAGCAATTTTTACGCGCCAGCTGTAATTTTGCCATACTATAAAAGTGATATATCCCATGACAAAAAAACCCAAAAATTAAAAACAAACCGTTTCAGTCATTGGCTAGAAATTAATGTTCACAACATACAATCGTAAATTCTGCTTGCATAAATTCCAAATGTTCAACTCAATATCCATCCTGTTTTATTGTACATGTCCATGTCGTCATAAATTAAAATCACTTGGTAAAAATAATACAGTATAAAAACATCTTTGCAAGAAACACAACTGTTCAGCTTTGATGAATGAGCATTTTAGATCACACGCTGAATACGGATCCGTGATTAACCAAAACTTTACTTTCATTGTAACCCTAACCACCCCTTACCCTTCAAAATCCAACTGCATGTTTTGTTGGAATCTGTTGGAGTGAGTACTGCACTAGTAAACTGATTATGCTTAACAAGGGGTAAGGCATACCAACATAACCAGAGTCCAACAGTTTGGGTGTAGGGTTTACCATGGTGTTGGATTTTGCAAGAGTGAGAAAGGTTCCCAGTAACTCACTCAAGGGGTTTGGGTCAATGTCATAAATACATAAAACAAAAAATATCAGCCACAGCAACAATGCAAATGCTTTAGTGAATAACACAGTAAATTGTTAACAATAACATTGCTCTGTTTTTATTCCTTTTAACCCCAAAATCATTTTGTTTGGGTTTGCATATTCAATTGAATATTAATATTAACCCAGCACATTTTTTTTCTTGGTTTTTCTGCAGTCTGCCCTATTTCAACACAGTGCAATAAATCAAATGTCGTATTCTTTACTAAGCAACAAATAAAGGAAAACATTGCATCTCAAGGTGCTTGATTTTTAATTGTCAATAAAAGTATGAAAAGTATTCCCCCCCCCCCCCGCCTTTTTTTAAATGTACGTGCAAGTGCAGGATATTAAAGTAAATATAAAAAAGTGAGAACATGTACACAATATTTTCAGGGCAATGTTACTGGATAAAATAAGAATACAAAACCAATAATTTTACACTCAGAAAAAAAAAATCTGAGCTTTAGGCCAAAAAAAAAAAAGTCTCCGATTTCTGGTATGCGCGCGCGTCGCCGCAGCCATGCGCGTCGGCAAAATGAAAAAGTTTTTTTTTCAATACAAGATGATGTCTCAAAACCGCCAAACTCACTGGTTTGACTGGAATTCTGCTGCTGCACAATTTTAACGTGTTTTTAGATGGGGTTATGATCAAGAATAAGCTTTATGTGGCCTCTCTGGACTCCCATATATTTGCACTAAGTTTAGTCGGGCACCATTTGCAGTCATCAGCCGACATTTGAAGCCAAAAAAAAAAAAAACAGGTAAAAAAAAAAAAAAAAAGCCGCGTCGCCGCACCACTTTTGGGGCAAGCTCCATACCAGAAACCGGAGACTTTTTTTTTTTGGCCTTATGATATAGCAAGCAAAGCAAAGTCATATGCAGCACATTTATTTAATACCACAAAAATATGAATCATAAACTATGTGCACTACTGGTAGTCTTTCAATGACTACAACATTAAGTTGAGAAAAAGGGGTGTATTTGCACAGAAATGACCTTAGTTTAAAAACAAGTTCGATCGGAAACATTTAGGAAGCTGCGGGCCAACAAATTCTTGTTCATGCATGAGTCACGTGATTGTGCCTTGTAATTTCTGGAAGTAGTGTTTTGAGTAAAATAAAATCAGGTTTTTGACCCCAGTGACCCCATGATGACCTTTGACCCCAGGTTGGTCATGTGACATGTTGGGGCTGGGCTACTGATACTTTTGACAAAGTTTGGTTGAAATTGGTTAAAGTATGTATGAGCAATAGACAATGTCAACGTTTGTTACCAACTGATTTACTAACAGAGAGATATGATGATTTGTTGAACTGCTATCCCGCAGCTAAAAAAGGCATTTAAGTGGCGAATTTGCATGCGCGGGGGGGGGGGGGGGGGGTAAATTGTATATGTAAATGTACATCAACCAAAGACAAAATGCAAATTTTCCGACAGAAATCAAAGAATGAGTGTGAACAATTTTTAAATCAGTGATCAGAAACTGGAACAAAATTTGATCATTTCGTCTATAAGAATTAAAGATAGCATGATGTATTTATGAAAATTTGACTAAAAACTAACTGCAGAGCTACAACATAGTCAGTTTCTCACTTGATGATAAACATTTCTCTGTACTTTATATGCTTTTGTTCTTGGGCTAAAGCCTTGACTAAATATGGGCTTAGTCTAAGTTTTACGCATCGAATTTGCAAAAGAGTTAAACACATTCGCCGTGAACGTTGGCATCAAATTCGCTTGCATTGGCATTTGCATGACATATGAAGTGGCGTCATTACTGGGGCAAAAGATGAGAAGATTTATATGTATACTATATGTACAAGCAAATGTCCATGATTTGTTGTACCACAAGTATGAATGACAAAGGATAACGTGAACAATTTCTCGTCAAGCAAACTTGATGGTTCTAGTGGCCATACAATATAGACCCTGCAATATGGGTCATTTTATAAATGTTGGGTCCATCTTTTTCCTGTCCCTGTTTACATCTGACATCTATGATTGTATAATAATGATGCACTCCTTAATGCAGTCGTCCTCCGAGAGTGATTATGAATAGCAAACTACCTACCCAACAAATAAAAAATGGTTTGAAGTCGTTCTTAGTGGCAGTGGTGCGTGAATGGCAAATTAAGACAAGATAAGTTTGCGGTAGCACCATGTGAATAAATCTCTTTTGTGAGCATGTGTGGTTTTGAAACTTGTCTTGGTATCTTTTCCACCATGCAAACCTTCAAATGTCAAATGTCAAATTACAAATTACTATGGTAACAGGGACAGGAAAAATGTCACACTTTGGCTCCTACATTTATTGAATAACCCACGTGGGATAATACCAACTGTTGTTGCCATGGACTGACCAATCAGAGTCAAGGATTCAAGTTTGCTTGACGACGATATTTCAAGTACACTAAATACTGCACGTGCATGTAAACCAGTGATAATTATACATGTCAAACTTTCAACCCCATGTTTGATCATTTGCCTCAAAATGACGTTTCTTGTTTCACGCTTAAGTTTTTTAACATATACGTAAAAAAATCAGCAGTTTTGTATTTAACGTGTATAATAAAAAGTACATTAACCGTAGTACTAAAATTGTTTGTTATGAATTGTTCATTAGTTCATAAATATTGACATTTCGATTACAAACATGGTACTGAATACGTTTAGTATTTTACAGAAAAAAACATACGTGTGTATCTATATATTCTATATTTTCAGTATCTTACAGTAAAATCGTGCTTAGAAAAACACACCTGAAAGCAAACAATACCAGGAATCTGGCCAAACACAATATTCCAAAGAGGCAAATGAAATTATCATCTTTTAATTAAAATATACAAACATTTTCGCTACCTAAATTGTTCTGTAGAAAAATCTTGACGACTGCCATTACTAGCACTTCGCTTTCCAAACTTGTTGCATATTTTGAATTGCGCCCTCTCTTGTACACTCTGCAAATCACCACTTGGGACATGATTCTCATTAAGCTGGTTTAATAGTGTACGTGACGTCCTTGTCCCACTACAGGGTGTTCTGAAAACAATGGTGCATGTAAACCCCGCCATTTTCGCCAATTTACAACCGGAATTTACTGCAAATGTTTACACGATCTTCAAGGTTACAGATTTAGCTTGAGATTACCGTTTGTTTAATTAAGATTGCTTTTGTAAATCCAGAGATATGTTTGAATAACCGCAAAGCCCAAAAAAATAATTCTGTGCCACTTTTAGGAAGCGAGTGCTTCAAAGATCAGACAATGCCAGTATGGCTCTTTTGATAAGATTATCCCTATGGGTGTAAGACAAACATTCCATTCACACGACAATATAGGGTTTTGTTCTTATGTTGAAACAATTTAATAGTACAGACAGGTTCACTTCTTTAAAACTTCAATGAAAAGAGTTCAATTCAATATAAATAAATATTGTACACTCTGCTTAAAAATGTTAAAATCACTAAAATACAGTAAAGTGATTTGGTTTTAGACTAGGACTATACTGATTTTAACTGCTTCAAAGAAAGTTTCTTGGCTTTGCCGTTATTCAAACATATCTTTGGATTTACAAAAGCAATCTCAATGAAACAAACGGTATTCTCAAGCGAAATCTATTACCTTGAAGATGGTGTAAACATCCGCAGAAAATTTTGGTTGTAAATTAGCAAAAATGGAGGGGTTTACATGCACCATTTTTTTCAGGACGCCCTGTAGGTGGGTAGTTTTGCAGTATTTATCAAATACTTTTCAAAACCACCGTCAGCGACTGTTTTCGTCCAAACGCTACCATTTCATTCGGTACCAGTCCTACCTTCACTTTGAGCAACTGCCTACAATTGGCATGGTTAATCTCGGATACAGTAAAAAAACAGATATTGAAGTACTATAAATGAGGACTTTTTAAATAGGGATTTACTCGAGGGTCTCAGGTATTTCGTTGTCGTTGATGACCAAGGAGTGAATGATACCTTCTTTCTTTTTGCCGCTGCTTACCGCTTTGATGTAACAAGCCAGGCCGTTCGGTAAGGTGAAATGCGTCTCAGTGCCGTCATCCACAAACTCGCCCTGCAGAGAATGCGACAGGCACACTGGTTGAAAACTCAATGAAAGAATTTTAGTCTAGTTTCTTTTCCCGTAGATTACAAAATGTAACAAGAAGATGCGAGATTCAATTTTTTGTGGCAGTATTGTAGTCCAGTCTATAACAAGTCAATTGCAAGTCAATTGCACGTCAATCGCAAGTTAATCGCCAGTCAAACGCAAGTCAATAGCAAGTCAATTTTGGTTTCATTTGTGTTTCAAATCTTGATAAATTAAACACAGTTCCTGGTATTTTTAGTGGGTATACACCATTTTGTTCTTTATGTTATTTGTCTTCTTTACAACATATAAAACTAATGTAACTCACCGCCGTCTCCAAAACTTGACCATTGCACCAAACGTCCATGCTGTCTTTTTCTGCAATAGGACAAAAATCATAAGTTTTTAACAAAAAAAAAACATGTCCTCATAGGCATCTTGGTTATTCTACAAATATGGGGTCTACTTTTTTTCCTGTCCCCATTACATCTGACATCTATGATTTTATAAGTCTGGATGTGAACGATTGTGAACGTTCAACCAATAAATCGGTAAAATGTGCCAGATTTCATGTGACACCGGAAAAGTGTCTTTATCATCCGCTTCAAACCGGCCACGTGACGGGCTCTCGACCAATAGGAATGCCTAAACTGTCTTAGGTATTTATGCATGATGCTTTAATGCCAAATTACAAATAAACAGGATAATGGGAACAGGAAAAAATGTCACACGTTGGACCCTAAATTTATAGAAAGACTCATGTGTTATTTGCCAGAGCGAAGTCGAAATGTTTTTCAGAACTAATATGAATTGGCAAATTATGATTACATTTTATTTGTAAAATTTAATGACTTTTCAGCGTGGCAAGTACCTAAGACAATCCTGAACTCATATCCCTCAATGACTGGTAGCCAGACTTTTGCCGTTTTGCTTCGCTGTTCTCTCAACTCCTTCAGCGTCTTGCCGTTCACCTCCAGGGTGTACTCGTAGGAGAAGCCTCCCGACGCATCAATGTTGATAGATGCTTTGAAGGCGCCGATCTTGAAGTGCTCTCGTCCGACGAGCTTGAACATCCAGTTCCGATGCAGTACTTCCTGGGGGAGACAGCAAGGATGTTTTTTTTTTACCAGCACTTTATGAAAACAAAATTCCCTGAGTTTTTCCATGATGTTTCTCTGAGATATTTCCAAAACTCCTTGAGAAGTATTTTCAATTTAACGAGGTTGCTGGGAAGCCAAGAGGTGATTGCAGCGAAGCTGCCAATAACCAATAACCAATAACACACAGGCTACTTGCTGACGAGAAATGGCCTCCCTTCTCACCTTATCCAGTTCCTTAGTGACTTCGTCATACACGTGCGTGTGCACCACTGATTACTAGCGCCCATTGGATTAACACTCAAGTTGCGTTAGCTTCTGGTTCCAATGGTTCCAATGCTACTTAATGGGCAGTGGTAGTGGTTTAAACTGAACGGACGTCACACTAACGAACCGGATAGCTATCCTTTCCCTCACACAACTTGGACACATGGCAAACGACACACACATGCCAAACTGGCGAAAACCTTTCCCTCCTGGGTCACTGTCAAATTCTCTGACTTTTCTCTGATTTTTTGTGTGTTTTTTCCCCACCCAAATCCTTAAGTTTTCCCCAACTGGAAGTATGGAAACTTATTTTCAAAGTTTTCCCTGATTTCCAAAGTGGCTGGGAACCCTGTACTTAGTGCAGAAAGTCCACAAAAACTCACAATTGTTGTTCCACTACAGGGTGAGTAAAGAAAACAACGAAACCCAAATGTCGGGACCATTGTTTCAGTGAAGTTCTTCTGCATGTAGCACTTTCAAAATCTAGGATATGAAAGCCCAATTCCTAAGCTTTCTTTTAGTACAAGAATCATTCAAGATCATCATCCTAGATTGTGAAAGTGCTACATGCAGAACTTCACTAAGCAATGGTCCCGACATTTAGGTTTCGTTTTTTTTTACTCACCCTGTACACCAGCTGTGATTTTTGAAACCCTTACCTTATTGTCCACACGAATGATTCTCATTCCCGACGTCGTCCCATGTTCAAATTCCACTTTGTGCACCCCGTCACTGAGTGCGACGTCCCAGACGGCTACGAGGTCTGCCATCACTGTTACCTGGTCTTAATCAATTCTTCACACAAGGAGAGACGAAAGTTAACAGTTATTTGCATCCCATGCAACTAGCAGAATTTTGAAAAATTAACTTTGCTTTAGCTCAGTTGAAAATATTTTTTTTCAAATACATTACGATTATTTTTATCAAATTACTCTCCTGAAGACGGTCAGAGCATACTGACCGGAACGTCGAGTTTACACCTCTGGTTCTTTTCAGAACCATTCTCTTAGTTGAGAAATTATTCGCACATGGTGTTTCCGCAAACCTTTCATTATTTAGTATCTCCACCATGCAAAGCCTCAAATCTTACAAATTACATCAGTGCAGGGCAAAACCCACTGGACCCCTTATTAAAGATGTCCATCAGCTCCCTGATGTAAAATTTCCATCTTATACGAATGTTGATTGTTTTCAGTGCAATCTCAGACTTAAGTTAAGTGCAATATCAGAATATATACTTTTCTCGCACCTAACTTGAAGGCCTGGTTTTACTTTCACTTCAAACTTATGTTAATTTACGTTACTTAAATCCTACTAGACTTATTAGTAGGGTAGGCCCTAGTCCGAAAATTTGGGACTCTCCATACTGTGTATGACTCATAGTATGAGAGTCCCAAAACTTAAGGTATTGAAAACATGCAATACAAGATGAAACCACCAGTCCAACACCCCTTTTATAGTACTGCATCAATCAACTGTGTCAAAAGAAACATCTGACATGTCTGGTACCTAGCTCTATTGCTACAGATTCTCTATGGTCATGCCACTAGACTCCTGAAGGGTCAATCTTTTCAAAAAGTTTTGCGATTAAAGAAAAACACCGAAAATGTCGAAAGAGCACAACAGGGGTTTCGACAATGGCTGGTAATTATGATCTCTCACTTACAACCAGACGGGCCATCGATTCTGCACACTTGCTGCTCGAACGATAGTGGTTATTTAATACCTTATATCATGTAGGCCTAGTCGTCTACGCATCAAACATGCCAAAGAGGACCCTGTAAGATCACTTCGGCTTAATATTGTTTACTAAAAGAAAGCCGGTTCCGGCAATATATCCACTATCTAAAATCATACCCACCTGTCTCATGTGTCTTCACAGTGCAAGGAATTTATAATATGAAGGACAGCTGTTGATTTATAAAACAACATAAATCACTTAAATCAATATGGTATATCATGTATATCCTACCTCCTGTAACTGAAGAAATGATTTCGGTCTTAGATCAATCATCAATAAAACTTAATATCCCAACCGGCGCGGCACCGGCGTCGATGATGCCAAGCTAAAATTCTAGGAAATCTACTTTCAACCCGTTATATCTAGCATCTGTGCCGCTATGGTTAATTATCCGTGTGTCGATACACTCACATTACGAGGTACCAGACTATTTCTTTGCTCGGCAACAATAAACAATGCGCGTGCGCAAATATGACAACCCGCGGTCATGACGGTTGATTGACATGATTGATCATGATTGACAAGTTGTGGTGTGTTCAAACAAAAAACCCAAGGAAGAAATTCTGAATTGTGCTGCCAACTTTCTGGACTGAAGGAGCTGTGTTTTGTATGTGAAGTGGTAAACGTTTTTAGGGTTAGCAGGACCTCGTTGGAAGTTGTTTTAAAACGCCAGTTGACTGTTGTTTTATTTCCAGGGGGAATTCCACGATTGCCGTCGCATTTTACTAGTTTCGTGAAAAAAGTTACCCCTATCCCCTCCCGCCCCCCCCCCCCCCAAACAGGGAAACTTCAGGAAAAGAGTGCGATCTTGTAGTGTAGGGCACCTCTTTAGTTTTGGTCAAATAAGAGTCAAGGGTGTTTTTTTATCATTCCAAAATGACTTTTTTTAACCTCAGACTTCTCTTTTATCAGTTTACTTTTCTTCTAACGACACCTTTTTCATGTTAATTGTTATAAATTCTACTTTTAAGACAGTTTCTTGGTGTAGAAATTGCGATTTTCGTAGGCCTACGTGCTTTATGGTTGGTGCCGTGAAATTCAGCGCGATATTTTGTTTATATTGCGCATTCACGGTACATCGCGGTGGTCGCCATCTTTATTTTCGTGTTGTGTTTTGTTGTCATCTTTATTTTACCCCAAAATGTCCCTCAAAAATTCAAAACCCTGCCCTCTTTCTATGAAAAACCTGGTTGTTCTTAATGTCGCCAAATAGTTTGGCAAGTCAAATGACTTAAAACTGGATTTTGTTCAAAAAAATAGGATATGAAGGGTTGATGGCGATTTTTTATTAGTGCCTATATATTGAACTGTTATGTTAATTGAGAATTTCTTGAAATGTTATTTCAGAATATCATTGTGTTTGTAAACAATTTAACCTGACGCTTGAATACACAGTGCCAGCGGCACCTGGTTGAACCTATCGTTACGGCAGTCGACCGTCTTGTTTCCTGACCTGACAATATTCAATTTCAGGATCTTTGGCTCTTGGAACCAGGCTAGTATCATCTGAATGGTTACTCAGACTTTATTTTCCTATAAAAAAATCCTCCAAAGCCACAAATCACCAAGGAAAAAAAATGGAAATCTAACGTTGCTTCAATAAAAAATAGGATTTGACAAAACATAAAAGTAAACAAAACTATCAAAAGAAAAGGAAAAAAAAATTCACAACGCAGATTCAGTTCCAGAGATCCTGAATTGAATATTGTCAGGTCAGGGATTTAACCAGACAGTCGACTGCTGTAACGATAGCCACTGCATTTAAGTCATATTTTTCTGTTTCTACTTTTTGATGTAGCTTTGCAAGTCATGAAACTTTCAGCATGTTCAGTAGAATGTCATGCCCTCACAGATGAATCTGACTGAATAAAACACAAAAAATGCCACGTTCCAATGAGGTAATTTGTTTTTGTATGAATGTCTTCAACTTTTGCAACCTGTTGTTATTTATATTTAAAGCCATTCGCTTATAAAAAAAAATCAACTAGTGATTGAATTTGTTATGCCCCAACTACAGCGTTGGCCCCAACTATAGAGTTGGGAGTTGGGACAGTTCAAACAAGTCCCAGCTATAGTATAGTTTGGCAACTACAGTTGAGACAATGCTAGAGTTAGGATGTAGCAAAAAAAATGAACTGAATTTGTTCAGTTTTTACTACATTTGTAACAAAACAAACCCTGTTGTGCACGTGAAAGCATTGCCCAGAAGAAATGTTCCCATAATGTGGTTCACGTGAGGTAAATCAATCACTGTGTAACCATTTATAATTTTATGCTTTTAGTTTCAATAACCTATAAAAGTTTTCCTTAATCATCACATTTTCAGAGCGAGTATGCCTTGGTCCTTCGGCAACTTGATGAAATCACCAAGTCTGTGCTGAGTGACTTGCAACAGCTAAAGACAAATCCACTACTTGCCAGGTAAGACAAGCCAGAATCGTGAATTTGATCTTACTGTCTTACTTTCAAATTTTTTTAAATTGAACAAAGAAATTGCCTGGAGTGGGGTTTGAACCTGGGACCTCCAGTTTGCCGTTCCGGAGCTATCTAGCCCTATGTTGGCGGTTCCCCATTTTGTCAATGTCTTTGTTCATGGGTGCTAGTCAGAAGCCATAAACCCATATATGCCATGTAGGGGATCATGCCCAAAGTCACGATGCTAGCAACATTAGCAATGCTGCAAATTAAATCCGGGAAAAAGCAAACACGGATTAATCACAGAGGATACGGCTTTTTATTACAAATTTTCTAGTGGGATCCCTTGATAAAATATGAGGACAGAAATTACGGTTAAACTAGAAGTGGGAGGAAAAGCCAAAATGACCATGGAATGGGGCAGGGACTTAGAACCCAATCCACGTGTAGGGGTTCAGGCGGGGTTCGAACCTGGGTCACAGTGTTGGAAGGCGACAAAATTATCTCATCCCTCTATTTGTTTAGAGGAAGGGTTTTTTTTGGGGGGGGGGGGGGGATGGAGTTGGCTAATAGCCCTAACAGTCCTGAATCTTCCAATTTCAATATGATTTTGCACACCCCCTAGGGAGTTTAGGGTTAAGGCATAGTTCTGCCGATTTTTTTATCAGTACCGTTTGGACAAATGTTTACTTTGGTTCTGGTGTGAATTGGGGATGAATATTACATCATTAACATTTGTTATTTGATTTTCTGTGTTTTTAGTTCATCCACAAGCTGCCGATATGTGGATCAGATTGCCAGTAAGACAGAAGAGGTCATACATATTGTGGATCAGCTCAGTGCCAGGTAGGCAGACAGAGAAAATTAGAAATAAAATTGTCAGAAATTTAAATTATAATTTCAGTGTGAAAAGTCTCCAGTCAAGAGTGTAGTACCGGGGGACCTAGCAAGTAGCAACCAAATTGCATGTTTGATTTAACATGTTTAAAGACATATTGACCAATCCCAGCACACTGTCAATTCTATCACGAAGGCCCCCATCAATGGCGAATGCATCTGTAACTGCAAAGTGGCATCTGTCAATAAAGCGCCACAACGATTAAAATAACATCACAGTTGTTGTTTTTGTTGTTGTTTTTGTTTTCTTAATATTCAAGCCGGCAAAAAGCTATTTGAATAATGGGTTAATGATCAAATATTCGAAATATTCGGGACAGCCCTAAACCTTACATTGTTTCCTCTGCGAATCGTTCTGGAAAACATGGTTTCATTTCTAGGTCTGGTTTTTGTTCTGTTTTGGTTTTTTGTTTTTTTGCAGCTACCCTGCACGCAACTCTGAACAAATTGCCTCTACTGTCAAGTGCAAGGGCGCATATTTTATAAACCAGCTTTAGAAAGCAATATTTCACCGTAAAGCATTTTACTTTTGAGTCCAAATGAAGTCCAATAAGCTGAGTCTGAGTGTATTGTATCGAGTTACTATTTTTCAAGCTGTATCAAAGGATGCGATTTCTTGATTTCCAGAGCCGTTCCGAGACGTAAGGAGACGAGATCCTTGAAACAGAAAGATGCCGCAGCAGTACCTGTGCCAAACATCTTGCAGAATGTTTCAATGCAGCAATACCACGATATGGAAATAGTAAGTAGGACGTAAAAACAATATAGTGGGCATTTCCATGAGCATATGGAAATGGCTGAAAAATGGAACAATTTATGAAATCTTCAAAACTGCGAGCGTCACAACCTCAAATGTGTCATCAAATTAAAGGGGACAACAAGCACTTTCATTTGAGTAATTTGGAAGTGAGATGGATTTTTTGTTTAAAAAAAAGAAGCTTTTGGGGGCTAAAATTATTGATTTCAGTTTTATTGTGAGTTTTTGTTTTTAAGACAGAGAGAAAGGTTCATATTTTATGCTCGTATTTATTTTTTGGGTTGATTATTAGTTTAATACTTATGTGTTTTAACTTGTACCAAAGATGGGTGAACAAACTGTAACATGAGTTACCGTAACGTAACTTAACAAAATATAGCCCACTAGGGATTTCATGATTGAATTTTGATAATTTTTTGATAAATTGAAATGGTAGCCTATGACTTACACCTAATGATGTAAGAACACTACAAAATATTTTTCCATCAGTGCACAGTATGAGGAACATTTCAAATGCAGGGTGTTTTAAATTTTTGCCATGTCCTGTTCTTGTAACGTGAGTTACTGATAAAAAAAAACGACAGAACTTTATTTGCCAAAACAAAACAGAAGCTTATTTTGTTGGCCTCTTTTTTGTAGTTTGGTCACTTAATTTCAAGGGATCTTCTATGAGAAAAATCCACCATTGATGCTGTGACTTTTTAGAATAACAAAAAAATAACAGCACCACAGTTGACATGAGACCCCCTCCAAAAGTTAAGTGAGTTATCATGGAATTACCGTAATATGAATTTCTTCAATATACATGTACATGTATCGGTCTGTTATCAGGTAATTGCAAATTGTCGTCCCTACTTGTTTGGTTTTGCAGACACCATTATGGTCTCTTTATTCTCCAACCAGTTTACAAAACAAATTTTAGACGCAGTCGAACTAGGTGCTTCCCTCAACTTGCCCATGGAGAAATCTCCCTACCGTCATGCAAGCGACGGACACAGTCACAGACAGGGTCACAGACACAGTGAAGGACGGACGCACAGACACAGTCATCATCACCACCGCCACAAGCACAGCGCTTGGTGCCAGCGATCGTATCACCACGTGGTCCCAACCCTTGAAAACTGGATTCACTCATTAGCTGAAGCTCGGGACAAGGTAACGGCATATGACAGTATTTTTTTGGTTTTGCCCTAAGGCCAAAAGAAGAAAGTCTCTGGATTCTGGTATGGAGCTTGACCCAAAAGTAATGCGGCGGCGCGTTTTTGTTTTGTTTGTTTTTTAACATTTTTTTTTCTTCAAATGTCGGCTGATGACTGCAAATGGTGCCCGACTAAACTTAGTGCAAATAAATGGGAGTCCAGAGACGCCACATAAAACTTATTCTCGATCGTAACCCCATCTAAAAACACGTTAAATTTGTGCAGCAGCAGAATTCCAGTCAAACCAGTGAGTTTGGCGGTTTTGAGACATCATCTTTCATTGAAAAAAAAACTTTTTCATTTTGCCGACGCGCATGGCTACGGCGACGCGCACGCATACTAGAAACCGGAGACTTTTTTTTTTGGCCCAAGCTTTACTGACGTATTTTCATGAACACTGTAGACCTAACTCAGTATTGTCAGAGGGTAAAGCCTAATATTAAAATTAAAATCTTCTCAATGCAAAATTCATTCATACAAATTCATTCAGATTCAAACCAGCCAGCCGCCCTTAGAGCTCGGTGGTCAAGTGGTAAGACGTCTGCACTAGAATTTAGAAGGTTGTGGGTTTCGAGTCCCAGGCCAACATTGAGTATGCAGTGTTGATGAAATTTCATCTTTAACTGCAGAGATGCCAACCATTACTCTTTTGGAATTATTATTAGGATTTTGAGGCATGTTACTACTCTTGAAATTTCCAGCTGTCTTATACGCCAACATTGTGGTTACTCTGAAAAGTACTGTGGTTACTCTTAAACTTGACTGTTGTCCTATATATTTACATTAGCATTACTCTTTGCAGGAAGAATCATTACTATTTTGTAGTCTGTAAAGTTGGCATCTCTGTAAATGGCAAGAACCCAATATTAAAAGAAAACTTGTTATTCTTTCTCAGGAGCTAACTGCATAGAGGAATAGAATGAATGATAAGTTTTTCAAATGTCATAACTTTCCAGGAGAAACATTGTAAAGCTCGAACCATATTTTAGTACATTTCATATTTTGTAATACAAGTGGTGTATACAAGTGAATGCAAGACAAATAAATTCTCAAAGAAGTCCAGTTATTTATGCATGGACACTTTGGGAGGCTACCAACATTGGGCTGAATAGACAAATCAAGGCATGTTGTCAATTCTATCAAAGAGGACCCCTTCAATGGCAAAAGCATTGTGCTAGCTATTGTTCATATAAGCCGCCAAGGGCAGATGCTTGGAACAATGGCATGCACAATGGTTTCTTCATTGAAGGGGGCCACGTGACTTTACCATGATGTGACTGGCTTCGTCTATAATAGAGCTCAGTTGGTAGTGCCCTACCAACTGAGAGGTCACTGGTTCAAATCCCACTGCGATCAATTCATGCGCTCAACCTAATGACTAACTTTTCGGATTCCTCTGTGCGGACATTCATATCAGGCACCATCCGCTGTCAGGGCGGACTCGGAGCACAGCAAGATGGTGGCGCATTTCCAGAAGCTGTTTGACGTGCCAACAGAGGGCGGTGTTTACACCAGGATGAACGAGCTGTACTCGCGGGTGGGCGAGATGCAGAACGTGCTGCATTCTCTCAAAGACATTCTTGGCCTGGGTGAGTCTAAGGCTGCATCCAAATTACGTGGCTGTGGCTTGTAGTGACATAGCTATGGAAGCGGCTGAAGCCTCTTCCCATAGACACGTGTGTATGTCAGCCATAGCCAAGTCATTAGGTAGAAGTGACTAGACTAGAGACCAGGGATGCGTTCAATAGCGCAGTACGTATGCCATTCCCGCATACCTTCAACAGTGAAGGTAATACTGGCATACGTATTGTACTATAGAATGTGCCCCTGTCCTTACATGTTGAGTGCTGTGGCCTCGTGGTTAAGGGCACTGGATTCGTGGTCTGTGGGTAAAGCAGTGGGTTGTGGGTTCGAGTCCGGCCGGGGTCATGGTGCGTGTGCCCTTGAGCAAGGCACTTTGTCACTCATTGCTTCTCTCCACCCAGGAGTAAATGGGTACCTGTGAGAGCAGAGATGGTTATTGTGATTGAATGAGCTTGCTTGCATCTAACAGACAGCATCGAGCTGTATACTCCCCAGGGAGCTGAGATGGTATTTGGAATGTTTCATTAGCTCAGTGATCAGGGGTAATAATAATACTGTAAGCGTTGTGATTTAGTTTACTAATAAGAGCGTTCTTAAATGCCGATTATTATTATTAAAAGCAACCCCTTCATGCTGTAGGAGATTTGGGTGTTAGCTGTGCACATTGACAATTTGTCCCCTGCGACAGTTCTTATCGTCACACCTCAAACAACTGATTTCCTATTTAACCAACATCCACACCTGATTCCGGCACTTCTCTTGAAACCACCGTGCTGATTGAAACACCAATTGTACCCCCAACTTTTCTTCCCTCAACCATCATACCATCAAAAAGAGAAATCTTTCCCTTGGTTCCACCACAAACTGTCTACACTTTCCACCATGCTTATCTGCAAATCTTACCTAGCTTGATTCGAGCGTTTGAGACAAGTCCATCGCAAGTCCATCGAAACTCAAAAGTACATCATGAGTCCTATCACAAGTCCAGTCACAAGTAACAGAGAATTTCTGTGTTTCACAGATGAGGACGCGTCAGCCAGCAGTATCGTGATGGCCACAGCGCACCTTTGCGAGTTGTAATCAAGCTCTACTACGCACCTACTGGGCCAACTTTTGCAGCAGGAAAAACTGGACAGGTAGAAGGGAAATTTCATTCCGGATTGTTTTTTAATCAAATAAACTTCCAGAAACATTTGAAAAATTTGGAGAAATATCAAAAAGTAAAAAAAATGGACATTTTGTCGGGTTACCAATCTTATTAACTTCCAGACTTTTTTGAACCATAGGAAATTTGTGAGTCGTGAGACAGAACCGGGCAGAGGTCGAAATGAGGATTTGTGGGTATTAGGAACACTGTTTGTTGCACTTCAATGGGACATTCCGTTGACAAGTTATGACTATTTAACATTTGCAGGAAACATGTCAAAAAGTAAAATACTGAGAAAAGGGCCTTTAAAGTTTCAAATTTTGTATTCATGAAAATGTAATATGCCAATTGTTTTTCCTTAAAAAAATGTTTAATTCCACAGTTTTTAAACTATTTCTTAACAAATTTAAAGATTACAAATATCAATAAGTTTAGAAATCAGAAAAAAATTTACTCCATTTGTCAGAAAGCCTCACATTTGTGTGCCAAGATGATGAGCTAGAAAAATGTTATTCATTGACATCAAAAATGTAAAAAAAAAATTAGGGAGGAAAGTGTAGGGTGTATTGCTTTAAGCCTTTGTCCTTCACAAACCTGCAATTTTATTGCAAGATTCAGGAACTCTTCTGTACCGCCGACAGATTTTTAATTATTGTGTTGATGCATGATGGATATTTGGTTGAGAAAGGGTGATGGCAGAAAAAAAAGGTGCTCAGCCACGGTTCTTGATCAGAGTTGCTCTTGAGTCTCATTAGATGAACAAGTTTGTGAAATGTTATGGTAGCTGTGGAATAGTTCAGCACTATTTCTAATTTGTTTCTTTTTCAATCCTATGCTCTGTTTTTCTTTAAGGGTTATCTCACGAATGGAGCAGTATCGGAAGTTTTTCCCCGTCTTTGACACCATGGTGAAGGATCTGATGGAGATTCTTGGTAAGTTACACTTTGAGAGAAGTGAGTAGTAAAGTCACAATGGGGCGTCTGTGTCTCAGAGCAACTGTCTGTGCAATTGTCTGAACCAGAGTGTCATTTGTCAGTGTGGGGAGGGGTGGGGGTGGGTGGGGACTTTGACAGCCAGCTGGTGGCTTTAGTATTACTGTGGATAGGACATACTGTGATATACAGTATGTCCTATAAATTTTTGAAATAACTACAAAACCGTGAGGTAAATTTTTAAAATTGTTGGTTGTGCAGATACTCCTAAGCCTTGGTCTCAACCCCTATGAGTTTCATTTAATTTCAGTCATGCATCACTGCACAATGGGCAATTGATCACGACAACATTTTTGGACACTGTGACCAAGTTCCTTGCCTTATTCAATTTCAGTACTGTGTAAAGTTTGCCGTGCAAAATCCTTCATGTTGTGAAAAGGGCTGCGGTTGGGATTGGAATCATTTGCCTGGCTATCAGTCATCATGGCAAGACCTCAGTTTAATGTTCAAGGGCAAATGATTCCAATCCCAAACCACATCAGCCTTTTTTCAAAACATGGAGGATTTTACACATCTTATATAAAACAGCACTGAAATTGATGATGAGGCACAGTATTAAAAAATATTGATGTGATCATATCAATTGACAATTGTGCAGTGATGTGTAACTGAAATTAAATGAAATTCATTGGGGTTGAGGCCAAGTCTTAAGAGTATCTGCACAACCAAAATTTTCAAAATTGACCTCATGGTTTTCTAGTTATTTTAAAAACAGTCAGACAGACACTTTTTGGGGGGACATATTGTTTTTCTGATTTGCTGGATCCACCTATGTTGGCTTTGTGTATGTCATATGAAAAGGCAGACTTCACTCTCAACCAAACTTGGTGACAATGATCTTTGGTAGGGGGACTTCAGACAATTTGAGACATTTGAGGTCAAAGGTCATCTAGGGGTCAAATGAGGTCATTGTTTGTTGATTTTGGCTAGGTACACATAAAAGTGTACTTGCGCATGCCGGGGGATCGCGCAAGTTTGACTTGCAGTATTTTTGATATTAGAAAGCAATCCTCATGAATTCGTGTTATTCTCTTTGATGTAATTCGACAGGTGTTGCAACAATGGACAGGATCCTACCAGCTGTGAGGGCGCTAAAACTGCTGAACACTTGAGGCCTCCTCATTTTTGGAATAAAGTTATTTTTATCTTCATCAAATATTCAAGTAAATTATGTGAGACCTCAATGACAGATATGCTACTGCAACATTTGTGTAAATATTAATGAACTGTTGCCAACACTGTATTTTGGGAAGAAATCTCTGGTATATTCAGTCGAGTCTCGTTATAACAAACTCACTAGGACCTAGCCAAATTGTTTGTTATATCAGAATTTTGTATTAAGAGGAACATCAGTCCCATTCATTGTGCATATAAATGCACAGTCGGGACCAAGGCTTTATGTTTGTTATAACCAGAATGTTGTATTAACAGAGTTTGTACTAACGAGAGTCGACTGTACATATGTATGTACATGTATATGTTTGAAGTTTGTACACATGAAATGACTGAGGTAGCTTGGTAGCTTTGCAGTGTAAGAATTTTCCTGCAAGTCCACAGAAAAATGGGCATGTGTGTCATGTCGTTTTGTTTTTTAATGCCCATTATTTTTGGAGGTTATTTTTTTATGCGGAATATATCCTAGTCTGTATTCATACAGTGGAATTCAGAAATTGTTCAATCTTTGTTGTGTTTCACTGTTTCAACACTCATGCCAATATAATGTGTGTGTTTTTTTTGGGGGGGGATTTATTTTATTTTTTTTAAGCATAAAACCCACAAAAAGAAGCCACAGAAGAAGTTAAGTGAGTGGAATAAACCTAATTTGTTAGTAGTTGTTTTTATTAATAAAATTGATCAATTAAAAAAAAATCCATACTTTTTCATAAGCGAAGTGGGGAAGATAACATTTTGCAAGTACTTTTAACGTATCAGTATTATAATAAGGAATCAACCAATAAGCCTGCATACTGAAATTTGATTGTTTTAAATTGCCTTTTGATATTTTAGAAACAAAAATCATTGTAGCCTTTGCCATACAGTTCTGTGTGTCATGGTCAGTGGATGAGGACACTACATCTGTCAAATGCATTATTTTCCTAGATGTTATGTTATTTGCCATATTGAATGATGTACACATTTTAGCTTGCCTTATTTATGATGAACCTTTAAACATTTGGGGAGAATTTGACTAGTTTTATTATATCATGAAGCATTTTTTGTGTGGTTTCAATATTGAATGTAGGGAACTTTATGAAATTCTAGGGAATTATGAAAGGGTGTTATATATTAAATTTCCTAAAATTAGATTTTAATTTTTTTTAGTTTTCTGGTTGTATTTCTCTGAGAATTTATGAGTGCATTGAGAAATCAAATTTTCAGTTTTTCATTTATTGTAAAAAATTGTTTTAAATGAGGGGGCTAAAGACAGACTTGTGAGGGGCAAGCCCCACCCCATTGAATTCTAATCAATGTTTTGAGTTTGAAGATATGCTTTTAAATGTTTAATATACAATATGCAGTGCCCATGTTGAATTTGCGCAGGGTCCAATTGAAATCTTTTGTTTGTGTATATTGCCTGATTTTTCTTACCAACCCAGAATTTGAATATTCTTGATAAAGAATGTGAATATTTATATGAAATGTGTGCGTTGTCTTCCATTAATTTCACCTTTATTATTTTTCTATTTTAATCTGGATTCTTATCTCAATCCTAATCCCATCTTAATCCTAGTCCTATCTTAATCTTCATCCTGTCACTTTTATCCCAATCCTGTCCACATCTTAATCCTGTCTAATCCTAATCCTGTCTTTATCATAATATATTCCTGTCTTAGAATCTGTCTATTATTAACCCTAATCCTGTAATCCTAATCCCATCTTAATCCTTAACTTTATTCTCAGTAGGATGTTGTCTTTGCCTAATGGGTTTATCTCTGTTCACATACTTCACCAGTTATCTTTGCCTTCTTAATAGGAGTCGTCTCGTGCGTTATGGGGCAAGTTTCTTCTTTCCCATATTATTTTATCTGTAAATTCTGCATTTTCTGTAAAGAACTATGAAACAAAAATACATGAATGATCCCCTGCTTCGGTATTTATTCTCTCTGGTTTTGTTTGTTTGTTTATTGGGGTGTTTATTTGTTTGTTTATTTGTAGGGGGTGTTTGTTGGTTTTTATTGGGTTATTTGATTTGGGGTGTGTGTTTTTTGTTTGCTTGTTAGGTTGTTGGGTTGTTTGTTTTACCTTCTTATTAATTTCCTTGTAAGTAATTTTCTTAAATTTTAGAAAAATAATCATGCATTTGTAGAGCGCTGTGGTCCAATGGTTACGGTGTTCGGCTCACTTGCCAAGGTACGTGGGTTCGAACCCGAACGGGGAACATGGTGCTTGTGTTCTTGGGCAAGACACTTTACTACAATTGCCTCTCTCCACCCAGGAGTATAGATGGGTACCTGTGAAGGTAGAGACCAGATTGTGCTGATCTGGAGCTGCTGCAGAAACTGGTTTCATGGCCTGATGAACAGGGGTAATAATTGTGAAGCACTTTGAGACCTTTGGTATAAAGCGCTATATAAGCACCACATTATTATATTATTATTATTATTAAAACATGAACTGTAGGAACTAGTATTTAGTACGTTGAATCACAATTGAGGAATGTGAATTCCTTTCTAACTCCCAGGCCATTATCTTTCCACAAACAAAATGGGAACGGAAATCATCCAGGAAATTATACCTCGGTCAGAGCTATTCTGTTTTTACCCACCGAAGTCTCCATCATGCTTGCCCACTAACAATCCAAACCGTGACTTCCATACCCTAATCGCAACCCCGCGCTGCGCCGTTCTACTTCCTAAATAAATATGAAACAAACAACTTAAATACACGGGCGATTGTTTGTAATCTGTAACTGTTTTTTCAGCTGTGTTCACTTGTGGTATTTTATCATATAATCGATGCAGCGTCACAGCTAGACTCGGAAGTTTCAATGGCCGCAAAGCCGCAAAACAGTACTTCATCAAATTGCAAAGTAATTTAAGCCCTGTTTTTTTTTGTCCTCTCTCAAAAGTCACGTTTTTCACAGTGCGGGGATACTGTGAGTGCAAACACATGTTCAATTTCTGTTCCGCAGGTAACAAAGAAGATCTGGCGCGCCAGCTTTTGTTCCCCGTACTTTATAATTCCCGCCAAATCAATAAACCCGGAAGTTTATTGTTGCGCAAGCGTAATCGTATCAAAACATAAATAAATGCATCCAGCTGGTTTTGTTCCCCTAGTGTCGACGAGCTGCATGATTGGTCAATTAAATTTCTATCGTTTAAACACTTTCAGAGAAATACATCCTTTATTTTCAGCAGTATTCAATTTGTAAGTCAAGAGTATTAATAACTCTATAAATTTATGAGATTCTTTGGGTTTTTTTAAAGTCTGATTCATTCCAGTAGATGACAAAATTTAGTGAATAAATGTCGACGGCTTCGACAGATTGGCCAATCAAATGTCTCCTTTCATTCGATACATTCCATTTCGTTAAAGGGCTATGTTTTTTATCCATTGTCAGAGGGGAGCTAGATTTGCGATGACCCTTCTGCGAGACGTTTTTTGGACAACATCAAGAGGAATTCCAGAGGAATTTCATCCCTTTAACAATGAGCAATAGCTTGAGAAGTCGAAGTGAGGTAAGTTTGCGTATTTTAAGAATTGAAATGGCTGTTTTTAGACTTTTAGAATGGGTTTTGAGGTGGAAATTTGGATGTGTGCGCGTGATACGATGGCATGGCTGGAGATTTTGCAAAACCTATGTTGTTGCTGTGATGTACAAACATGATGTACAGTACGTGTATGCGTGCACGTATATATCTACTTCGTTCATGTCGTATTTTTGTAGACTGTACATGGACAAGAACACGCCGGAGATTTGTGTGCACAATTAACTTGCCCATTGTTATGTAGCCATTTTAGCATCATCAAATATAAAAGGACTAAAGATTATGATGTAGGCCCCCTAGGGATAGCCCGTGTGGCCGCAGTATGCTGCGCTGAACCTCTGGCCACACACCGTGGTACCGCGCACTACTGAGGACGTTTTCATAAAATTTACAGGCAGTTTCTTACATATGGTTGTATTCTATGATGTCCCATCTATCACTTCTGGGATGCTTAGGTGTAATGATGTTCAATTTTCCGAGATATTCTTGAATCTTTCTGGAGCCCATATGCACTCGTGAAACGTCTGGTGATGGCAGCCATTTTGAATGTGACAAGAGATGACCTCAAGCTGTGACGTCGCGTTTATGCAAATTGCTTCACCTCACCTTGTGATGTCACCAAAGACAAATCCAGGAAGCTCTGGCAATGCGATTTTTTTTAAGGAAAAATGTATTTTCGGAGCACATTTTGGATGCACACGTCCTGCAGAACTAAGTTAAAGACAGCCGATCAAATTGATTGAAGTGTCTGGAAGACAGCGGTACGTTATACGCATGACATCGACAACGCATGAGCCGGCCAATGACAGCAATACGTCATTATGAATATTTAATTTCTCATGAATATTTAGTTTATCTCAATGGATACTTTAAATACGTCATAAGATTGATCATTGCAACAAGCGACCGTGTGCGGCTTAGTGGTAAAAGTGTTGTGCTTTAACGAAGAGTCAGAGATTCGAATCTCGATGAAGTTAGTGACTGATCAATAAATAGGAATAAAGGAAAGGAGAGGGTGAGAGTAGAGGAGGGAAAGTGGAGGAAATAACCATAATAAAGGATGCAACTTTTTGGCACTTGAAAGTTAATTTTAAAAAAGTGGTGGCCTAGTAAAGTATGGAAAACTTTCCCCATCTTGTCCACAGTGCCAAAAAGAACATGCTTAAAACTTAAGTGCTTGCAAGTCATGATGCATTAAATCCAATAAGCGCTTGCATCTAGCAACGCGTGCTCTTTTTGCCCCGTGAACAAGGTGGCGCATCATTACCGTGAAATTGCTTATTCGGGGCTTGATTGCGTGTTTGACATGGTAATTTTTTTTATATGAAGGACAATTATACAGGCCTAACAACAGCTGAAGGCAGTTAGCTGTACATATTCATGTTAATCAGGGGGGACCCAAACATGCCAAAAGCATTGCTTAGTCATAAGTAGTGGAATTGGAAACCCACTCACAAACCAACCCACTCAGACCTCCTGCACTAAGTCTATGGGCCATGACAGAAAAAAAAGAAGTATTTTAAGAAATTTTGCTCTCCTTAAATAGTGTTTCTTCGTCAGATTTACAACTTGTGGTACTTTTCAGGTCATATTAGGGAATATGAGTGGTGGCCCAGTATGGAACTCGTTCCGTGGAATTTTGTTTAAAAAAATCTTAATCCACATTTTGTGTTTAATATAATTTAACCCAATAAGTTTGTCGGGAAAATTAAAGTTAATATTAACTGGAGTTGTGTAAACTTGAAGTTGAGCTCATTTATGTAGTTTTTGAACCGCTGGCACTAATGTATGTCATCAAAACGTTGCACTGCTTTTGTTCCTTGCAATCACAATCCATCTTAATTACAGACTCAATTGCCTCAGACAAGATGAGTGGGAAGGCAAGATTAGTTATCGTACTGTCATAAGCTACAGTCATTAAAAACGCAAACAAACTGTTGGGCCTCCATCATATCATCACAGAGTCATTGACCTCAGTCTAAAGATGACGTCAAGTGGAAACTCTCCATACGTGTAGTTATGGTAACAGTTCCTCAGCCGTTCTCATCATGACTTGGGATGGGAACGTTTGTGATGTGTATGTATGATGTATTTATGTATGATGTATACACTGTATGTTTGGCTTACTTGATAAACCCATTCCAGCTTTGGCCTAAATGTTAAAAAAGAAGTCTCGATTACAATAATTTTAAATGTGCGAAAATTAAATGAGGTAAACTTCTTGTATTGGACACATTGTGGAAACATGCGCATGCAGCTATGTATTAATTAATATGCCAAGTTTTGTTTGTTCAAATAATATTATTTCATCTTAAACTTGTAGGTCTATCAATTGATAAAATGCATCATTTGACAGTATGGAAAAGTGCATGTGTACATGTACATGCACTGTATACAAATTGTACCTTCAAAGATAATCTTTGGATGTAGAAGGGGGGGGGGGAGTCTGTTGTTTAATAGCTCCATTCTTGTATATTTTTACAAGTAATTGATTTATTTCTTGTTCAGCAAGTTTCGACCACATTAATTGTATGGCATTTGTGCAGCATTTTGTGCACTGATAAAAGAAAAGTACGGTGAATTAGAGAACAAGGAACCGATTTGACAAACAAGGAACCATAGTGTCATAGGAGAGCTATGTGAAATATTTGCAAGATGGGGGTCGGAATTCGAGAAATACTGGTGCCAAGTTTCCTGGATCAGTGAACCACATTGACCCGGAGCTGTGGTCGGAAACTTGGTTAATCTGGTTGATAGCATGTTCTTGAATTGTAGTAGACTTTATCAGAGTGGTCACATATTGTCCTAAACCACATCGGCGGAAATAACACTATAGTGTTACATAATATCTCGATCTTTGTTTTGGTAGGTTTGTTTGTAATCACAGCTGTGTATGGATATTAGGGAAAATTTGTGTGTGTAGGGCATGTTTGGTAGAAGCTTGAATCCTTACATTTTTGTAAACATGGTCCTTGTATTAAAAATGTATTGTAATTGTAACTGTTCTTTGTTCATTTTATACAGTGGGGTCTCCACTCAAATTAGGTTTTGCCCTTCACCGACATTTTTTTTTTTAAAACACTGTATACTCAGTGTGTTACCTCCCGAGTGAAAGTTGGAAAAAAATCACTCGGGTTGGACTCGAACCCACGACCTCCTGCTTTCTAGTGCAGATGTCTTTCTAGTGCAGGGGTCTCCACTCGACAAGCTCGTGCTTTTTGGAGACCTCCATCCATCCTTAAACAATAATTCAAATGCTAAATAATTATATAAAAAGTATGCACATGTATGTATGTGTTGGGAATAATTAAATATTTTTGATTGATTGATGTCAATTACTTCTTAACCGTATCCTTCCCAAATCCTCCAATCCTCTTTGCAAAATGGAGGATTTTGCAGCATTGAGGCTATTTGGCAAAAATGTGTGTCTGATTTTGGAGGATGCACTGTGTCAAGGTCTTAGGCCAGACCTTGTGTTGTTTATGCTCAGCCGTGCATAAATTTAGGCCTAGATTATTGAAATCGTCCGCACTGCTCCAGGAATCATCTGCCTCAACATTTTGACAGTGATTGCTGGAGGATTTTTCAGGATTGAGGTTGCATCCTTAGCAAGAATGCCTGGACAAAGGGTTAAAGATGTTTCTACAGTATACTCAAAACTGTATCCAAACATTTTGAATCATCTTTAAAAAATTAAACAGTACCACAGGTGGAATAAATGAAATTGGGATCACCACGTCTTGCCAGCAGCAATTTTTTTAAAAATTTAATTCTGAAAAAGACTGCACTAGAATGAGATGCACGTAGATCTTGTGAATGTGTAACAAAACCAGCGTGATATTAAAATTGGATTTTCCAATTAACTTATTAAGTGAGTGACACAGGTTGTTAAACTGTTGAGTGATCTAGGGCTGTGCAACCATGGTGCAACTGGCTGATGCACAGGAAGGATACATTTAAAGAAAATGATTCCTGGTGATCTTGATGAAAAAAATTGAAAAACCTTTCGCATTTACACCATTTCTGCTAGTATGTTTTGTGTAATCTTTGGTGAAAATATTGCAGCAGCACTAGCCATGTGTGAATCAGCAGAAAACATGTATGTAAAAACAAACATGTTATCAGAGGCACACACATCTATGGTTGTTGATGCCATAGTGCAATGAAGGTGCCTGTCTCTCAATTCGACCATAGAGTCTGAAAGTTCACCCCTTGTGGCACACTTCCGGGCCCCTCGAATAGGAAAATTAACATGCAAAAATTCTACAAGTTGCAATTATTTTTGGCACGTTGATTTCTTACAAAAACCACCCTCGTAAAAAAGGCCTTTGTAAAATCGTTACTATCATCTCAATTTATGGAAACTGAAAAATCGCCAGATGTGAAAGAGAAATATCGAACCCTGCTAAACGTAACCCATTACTTGTTCCACTAGTTTTGTTCTGTAAAGGATCATTGTCATATTCTCTGTATTGTTTGTTGTTTGAAATCTTTGCCGAATAAATAATAATAATAATAATAATAATTTAGAAATTTCCTTTTTAAAATGCGGTGCACCTGAAGTGACACATCAGTTAATTCTTATACCATATTTGTAGTACGTGCCCTCTGCAGAAAAGAGTTTAAGAATTTGCATATGTGTGGAAAATCTCATGTTCTGATGTTGCAGACATGCTTGTCATTTCCTGAGTACTTAGCATTGTTTTTTTTCCTTCAAACTTTGGACCCCATGCTATATATCAGTCTGGACAAAGTTTCTAGTGAATTGGAAAAAAAAATGCTGTCTGTGCAAAGTGCAGTTTAAAATAGCATAGAGTGGTCTACATTGATTGCCCTTGATACATGTATGTAGGCATGGCAAAAAATAAAACTAAATCCATAATCACTCACTAAGGAATCGCAAACATGGTGGTTTTTATCATTGGTTTTAATTATATTTACCGGCCTGTACATGTTCTGAGTTAATTTTT